TTTCACTCTTTTTCCCCAGTGGCTGCGGGAACAAGGGCTTCGCTGGGACGGCGCGTTGGGCCCTTCTCTCTCGTCTGCAGGTTGATGCAGCGCACAGCGGAGGGTCAGCAAGCGGGGGCGCTTTCAGGGAGGGCGGCGCTCCCCCCCTCCTCCCCTTCGGCCTGTCCCCGGATGAGCACTTCCGGCAGGCTTTGGCTAGGGGGGACGACCCCTTGCCTACGGAACACCCCCCGGTCTTGGACCAAGACCTCCACTTTGCGGCAGCGATGACTGTCGGGTCTCTTGGCCGCCTTCGCGAGTTGAGGCGCGAGTGTGTCGGCCCGCTTCGGGAGTTGAAGACCACCTGCGTAAGCTCCAGACCCCGGCGGTCCGGAAGGTCACGGCCCAGCGGGACCTGGGCTTGCTCAGTCTCTTCGTCGTTCTGTTGTCTTGGCCGGACACCACTCTCCCTTCACACCTTTTGTTCGGCAGGCCGCGGTCGGTACCTCTCTCCCCTGCGGAGTCTTCCCACAGCAGAGCTTCGACACAATTCCTCTCCATCGGCTTTTCGAGAACGTGGACTCCCACAACAAAGCTGTCCAAGGATCTATTCGGCCAGGCCCACACGATGACTTTTTGCTGGAGCAATCTACCAAGGACTTCGAAGCGGGGTTTTGTTCGGCACCGTTGTCCTGGTCGGAGCTTCTTCGCCACACCAAGGGCAAACCGATTCGTTTGATACCAAGGTGCGTGATTTCTCAGGCTTCCGGGAAGCAGAGGGTGATCGACAACGCGGACCATGGAGGACAGAGCGAGCTAAGCTCTGACTCTAACAAGTTGGTGTTATGCTCAGCCCTCCGCCCGGCCCAGCATGTTTCCTTGGCAATGCGATGCGCCAGCCCGGCGGTCGCCCGCCGCCTGCTGGAGGAAGACCAGTGGGAAGGCGGCGGCGAAGACTGGCCGGACGCCTATCGCCATTGCCCTATGGACGAGGACCACCAGGGCCTGCGTGGTGGTATGGTACCACAAGGATTGGGCCCAGCCGGCGTACCAGGTATATTCGGGTCTTCTCTTCGGGCTCCCTTTGGCAGTGACCAGCTTCAATCGGCTCAGCCGTTTCTCCGAGGCGGTGGGCCGCCGGCTCGTCTGTGTCTTGGTCTCTATGTATTTCGATGATGCGCACCTTACAGACCCGGCTTCTGCGAAGGGCTCAGCCCAGTTCGCCTTCTCCGAGGTCAACAAACTTTTGGGCTCCCCCTTCGCGGAGGCAAAGCGACAGCCGATGAGCACAGTCGGCGACTTTCTCGGGCTGGAGTGGGACTTCCGCGACGTGGGGCGTCACCACGTCGTAAGGTTCTGGGTCCGGTCCAGGCTCCAGGCCAAGGTCGAGGGCCTTTTGTTGCAGGCTGAGCAGGATAATTGCCTGCCGCCAGGCTTGGCGTCAAAGCTGTATGGCATGCTCAATTTCCTCGAACAGGGGGTGTATGGCCGTATTGGCACGGGGGGCATCGGCGCCCTCAAGGAACGCCAGTACGAGACAGCTCGGGAGTTGACCCCAGCTATCCGCTCGTCATTCGAGGTTATCCGAGCCATCTTGGCACTGCGACCGCGTCGGTCCGTGGAGGTGCTCCCCTCCCCCTGTGCCCGATTCGTCGCAGCTAGCGATGCCGCGGAGGTCGATCGGCATACGTATGATGCCTTTCTCCCGGGGGAGGTTAAAATCGCGCAGCTCGAGCTTTCAATGGTCCTCTTCGCCCTCACAGCTCGGGCTTCTACCTTTCGTTCTCGTCGTGGCACATGGTATATTGACAACGTAGCCGCGCTTATGGCACTCATTCGAGGGCGTTCCGATTCTCCCGACCTCGAGCGGCTGGCACACCTCATTCACGTGGCCCTCTTCTCTCTTCAAGTTTGGGTCTACTGGGAGTGGGTACCCAGTAAGTCCAACTGGTCCGGCTCGATCAGTCGATTGGGTGCGTCGGACCCGTGGGCTGCTTCTCGCGGCTTCTGCCTTCACCACGCTCTTTTTCCTACCGAGGTGTGGTCTCTGCCTCTGGTGCCGGCCATGCTGGTTTTTCAGTTTCTGTAGAAGTGCTTTGGGATTAGTGCATTGGGATATCGAACCGTGTTGGTTCGGGGTGGGGCTTGCAACCCGGAGTCGACCCGGGTTTTGCTAGCCCCATTCATCCGGATGTTTTACCAAAGCATTTCCCGTAGTAACGGGTTCTACAGACTGGGACGGCACTGGCGATGTGAAAAGAGTTGTGTGTGCAGTAGCCTCTGTGATTCGATTTGCGGATGTATACCATGTGTAGAGTTTGGCAGGCTTGGGTGCACATGTATCATCTGCGATCGATATCATGCCTTTTGGTTCAAGCCTTGGCAGTTGAGCCAAAACGGCAGGATTTTGTTGCCCGCCCTCCCTCCCTTTTACTGAGACGATCCCCCGTGGGGCTATCCTCTCTCTTAGGGTGGGCAGCGAGAGTTTTCTCGACTGCATTCGGAGGGGATATCGAACCGTGTTGGTTCGGGGTGGGGCTTGCAACCCGGAGTCGACCCGGGTTTTGCTAGCCCCATTCATCCGGATGTTTTACCAAAGCATTTCCCGTAGTAACGGGTTCTACAGACTGGGACGGCACTGGCGATGTGAAAAGAGTTGTGTGTGCAGTAGCCTCTGTGATTCGATTTGCGGATGAATTAAGATAGACCTATCTCACGCAATCTCGCATATTCCCCCTGCCACACTGTCTTCTGAGAAGCCGAGAACGCCAGTTTGTGCGCGGGGGCTTCGGCTGTCCCGTTGAACAAGTTGAACCGTGGAGAGGCTAGAAGGCAAGGGAGGAACGAAAGGAGCGAGGAACAGGGGCCGTGGAACAAAACGATGCGAGGAAAGGCACCAAGCCAAGCTTGATGGGAGGTTCTGCCGTTGCCAGCAATCCGTTCAAACAGGTCCGTCCACTCCTGCTCCGTCAGATCAACACGGATCTAGGAAGAACGCAAGTTCTAGCCAACATCGACACGCCGATGTCGCCATAAACGGCAGCCACTTGATGATAACATCGCAGTGCGTTTTGCGCTATTGCAGAGGCTTAAGTATCATTAACATGTCCAATCGCCTGTTAACAGGTTCAGCAGTCATAGGATGCAGCTAGCTAGTTCTGCCTCGCTGAACTAAGTGTCTTTTGAATCACTGCTGCCAGCCTTCATCAAACGTTTCAGCGGAACGAGCGAGGCATGGGGAATAGCCTCGCCATGGCCGGGGGAACCTTCCCCTGACGAAACAATAGCAACCAACCAACCAAACCAACCGACCGGTGATGAGTTCATTGCAACGCTCGCTTTGAGACGATTCGCAATTTTCCGATGGCTCTTGCTGCTCCCAGAAGACGGTGTGAATGAGTGATTTAGTTTGTAGTGAACCGTGCTCTCCCAGCAGCCGAAGTCGAAGTGCCTGCAGCCTCCAACCTCATGCTTCCAGCTTCAACTCGAAGGCAAAACGGACGCAAACACCAAGCTGGTGTCCCAACTTGAGATTTTTCTGCAGTGCTGCAATCTCCGTCGCTCGCAACGAACGCAGCAAGGGCTCTAGAAATATCGACAACTCTTCCTTGTGTTTGTGTGTGTGTATGTGTGTGTTTGTGTGCTTGACCGATGGCGACCTATTCTCGATGGTCTAGCATTCGCACTAGCTGCCGACCGAGTGGAGCTGTGGACATCCTGCATGCATCAGTTTTCTTAGTCATTGCTTGGCGTTGGAGTGGCAGGACTGTCTGCATTCGGAAGCGTCCCTCCGCGACGCAAAGGAGCGAGTCAGGCAAGCTTTGGCAGAGGCAGGGCAGTTCCGACGTTCGCCACAGGACCTGCTTTCTCGCTCTGGTGTTTGACTTGGTTCGGCTGGTGTTATTTCAAGACCTAGTCGCTACGAGTCGCCGTGCAAGCAGCGGTCTAGGAGCCTGCATGAACTCCATGTGCTGCTTGACACGGCCGAAGCAGATGCAGCGGCTAGCCACAGGTTCGTTGATTCTCAGTGATGTTCTCAGTGCACTGTCTAAGACAGTGCAAGAAGGTGCAAATGCTAATCGACTATTCCCCGTGTGAGCCAACAGGCGAGCATAGTTTTCTTGCAAAAAACGATCTGTTCTGATGCAGCTGGTGCCTGCTGTACCTGCGTGCCGGCGTCATGCAGTGGTATTTACTTCCATTTGCAGTTTCGGCTCCTAGTTCAACTTGATCTGCCATGGGAATTCGCAGATTATTTCAGAGGCAAGAGGCCAGGTCCCCAGCACTTTGTCAGTTGTACATAGGTGCATTGGGCCTGGCAGAGTTGCCAAAAGCCGCATGTCCCGCATGTGTGCTATTGGCGCTCATGTGCTTGTTGTGGCCATTGCCTCGTTTTGAGCGTGCCTACTCGATAAGCCCTTTCACCTCCAAAGTCGAAGCGGTTCCGGTGTCCTCAGCCGTTGGCGCCTCTGAAACTCAAACAATCATAATATCTTATTCAGTTTGTATTTGTCTAGTGTGCCTTGATCTGCCTTTTTCCTTGTAGTTCTCAACCAGACCCTGAGCCTCTAATCCCCCAATATCGGGAGTAGTGCAGATGCTTAGTGACAGTGAACAGCAAAGCGCGATGCCATTGTAAGTTCTGAACGCATCAGCTTTGATCCGTCGCAGGTGCGGCCGAGAGCCACTGGGGCCACGATGCCAATTTTGTCGTGATCGCAAAACGTCTTGGAGTGTGCCCCAAGGGCAGGCCTTGTCGGCATAGTGCGGAGTGCATGGGTTCTGCCATCTTTTGGGAAATATGTGCCGTGCAGCCAGGCTCTTTCAGACTGAGCAGTCATAGCCAACAAAGCGTCTAGAGTCTAAGGCACACGCCTTGAGTGCGCCCACAATGTAGCACTGTGTGCCGGATGTCTCCTGAACTCGTGTGTGGGCATCCTATGATTCGCGAGATTTCCGCAGAAGCAATCACATGCCCTGGTCGATTCTACAGTGCACCAGCCGTGTCTGCAATTTAGAAAATGCTAAACTGCAGCAATGGCGATGATATCTGCAGCTCCGCTGAATTTGCGGATCGATCGGTGCAGCGTTGCGCCCACAATTCAAAGCAGGACCACCCGCGATCCAGCATGCCGTCACAGCTTCAGCTGAATTGGACAGCACATTGCTCACACGGAGCCCGCAGCCGCAACCGAGGGTACCAGGGTTTTGTTTGGTTTCTTTGCTTGACGGCGGCAATGCAGCCGTCGACTGCACAATGCGCTCCGCGGTGCGCTGGGGGATCAAAGGGACTGACAACTGGCAAGTGCTCGTCGACACCACACATATAGGGCAAGCTCAGGCTATTTCTTCTGCACCATCCTGCATCCCAAACAGAAGGGCCCAACAGGGACATTTGTCACTATAGCTTCCCGTTGGGATCATTGGGGCATGGCCAGTACTAGTAAAATAGAACTTGCAGAGCACAGCTCAGTTTTTCGAACTTTGATGAGGCCAGAATTCATTCGAGTCATGTTCAGTTTCCTGTGGCCTCTGTGGTTTGCTCTTTTCCTTTTCTTGCTTTCTCCGCTTTGTGGTCTTCTTTCTTCACTTCGTTCCTTTCATGCTTTCATTACGGAGGGGGGACGTGTGGGGGTTGCGGGGGCACGAAGGAAGGCAGAAAGAAAGGAAGGAAGAAAGCAAAGGCTGAGTACGGAAGGAAGACAGGAAGGAACGAAGGAAGGAAGCAAAGGAAAGAGGGAAAGAACAGGGGTCACAGGGAAGGGAGGAAGAGAAGGAGGAAAGAAAAGCAACCCGAGAACCTCAACGAAGTATATTTCGTGTATATACATATATGATGTATGCTGCATTAATGTTATGTTATGCATACTGTGCACATGCATATGTATATACTCATAATATACATGTGCACATAGCAGAGATCGTGTACATAGTGTTTCATGTTTACGGTTTGTATGCATATATGTACCTTTGGAGCATACAATAGCGCTTGTAGTAAGTAAAAGCAATATATGTATACATATATACTATTATTATTGTTAGTAGCATTATTATTAATGTAGTGCATACAATATGTGATACATATATACACGAATAAGAGTATAATTACACATTACACCATATCTATATACGTATATCCACATTTGTGCACTGCGTATATACGTATATGTATGTGTGCAGTGCTTGAAATATACACAGGACTTGTAGCATGTGCATATGTAGTAGACAGTTTATTCGTATGTTCAGTGTATTTTGTGAGTTTAGTATTTCTACGCTATACCGTGCACATGGTAACTAGGTAAAAGTAACTACGTCTGCATATATACTATATCTAACTACGTATTCATATCAATTTGTCTAGAAACCGTATGCTGTCCTTACACATAGCTGTACATACATATGCATATATATATATATATATATATATAGGTATACCTATGTATATATGTATGCACCTCTCTGTGTATCTATGTATGCAAAGGTATGCATACGCATACATTTACTCTAATGCACACACACACATATATATATATATATATATATATATGTATGTATGAACAAGCGAATTAAAGCTATGAGTATGCAACGACTTGAAATCGCAGTAGAAGTTCAACTTCAAAGCAGAAATTTACTGGGTGTATGCCCTCTCATGGATCCACAAAAGGCCTACACAGCTCGACAGGCCTCGGCTTTCTGGGAGGTACAGCCAAACAGCTTTGAAAATATTGAATATTGCTGCTTGAAAAGTTTGCATCCAGGCCTTGTACCTCGGCGTTCTGGGAGGCTTGCAGTTTTCAACGTTGTCTAACTTTCCTTCCAGGGAAACCTCCAAAAATTTGAAAACTGCTACGGGGGGGCCTTCCAGAAAGCTTAGTCAAGCCATCTGGCAAGGCTTTTAAACTCTTCGTTGTGTTGTCTATGTGTTCGATTTCTCCTGAGGGCAAATTTTGCGAACTCTGAGAACTGCTACAAGTATCCCCCATGCAAAGCGTAGGCATCCACCTGTGAAGAACAGGCCCAAGAAGGCGGGTCAGCTAGTACAGAAAAGTTCCTCATATGTATGATTTATATACATATTCTTTAATGTGTTTAACCATATGCCAGTACCGAAGCAGTTTACGTCAGAAACCTCTAGCATGTCGATGCACCAACGACCAAGTCTACCGCCAAGTGCATCAAGTACTTGGTTTCGTGAGGAAACCATGAAGACCAGCCCAATGTACACTACGCGCACCGCGAAGGACTAGCAAGGAAAACCAAACAGGACGAAACAACGAAGGACCAAATCAAACAAGGTTCATATTAGGAACGGTGTGGCTCAGATGTGGCCTTTCCTGTCCTGTCGGCGGCCATTGCTGCTGGTTACTGCTTTCTGCTTTACGTTTGCTTTCTCGTTTTGATTTCCGTGATATTTGAAGATTGTTGCTTTGTGCCGCCAGTAACTAGTAGCTTCGTTCTGCAATGGTTGTGTGTTGCTTTCAGCTTGCTTATTTCTGCTTGTCTCTACTGTTGTTGCTTTTCGCTTTCCGCCGGCTTGGATTTTTCTGTTGTTCTTTCCGCGTTTGCGGTTGCCGCCTGTTGGTCTTGCTTCAGGCTGTTGTGCGATCAGCTAGAACGTGGTTTCGTCGTCAAATATGCTTGGCGGGACATGGCATAGGTCCAAGCGTCCGCTTCTCCCATCTTGCCCCAACACCCCTCAGCCATGCAAAGCCAAACCGAGCCGTGTCAAGGCAAAACAATTTGTTGCACCTACAGAATGCACGCTACATCGTGTTTTATCCGCGACGGAAGCTTCCGGTCAAGCCAGGGCTGCGACTGGTGACGAATGGTTGTGACCTGAAAAGCTCAAATACTTGCGGACTGATTGTAATCGTAGTAATGCGGTGCGCCTATACTAATAATGAGTAATGATAATAAAGGTCAAAAACAGGCAGCACAGCCAGAGTAGTCACAACAGCAGAGCGTCCCAAGCTGCATTGAGGCTTGAGATGTTTCTGCGTGTGCTACTCCAGTGTGTCCACATACAGAAACACCTAAAGGATACCAGTTTTGCACAGGCATGTGTATATACATGGTGCAGCGCTGCTAGGCCCCCCCTCCCCCCCCCACCCCATGGTATCCCCCCCTTCCCCCCTGTGGTTCCCTGTGGTGTGGGTTCCCCCCTGCCCCTCCCCCCTGTGGTTGCGGTCGGCTGCGCCCCCGTCCATGGCTATGCGTCCCGTTGCTACGGGTCTGGAACGTAGGATGTGATACAGTTCTATTGAACTCCGACCTGCCCTGAGCTCCAAAGCCAATGATAGTGATGAATATGATGGTGATGATAATGACGAAGATGGTGCTCATGATCCCCATCCGCACTCTCATCAGGTCCCTTGCTCAAAAGTCCCGAATGCAAATCATTTTAATACGTGCTCAAGCTTACTTGTAGCGAACCCAACCGAAACTTGGCTTGGAATGACAACGGACGATGTGGTTTTCGCAAGAACATCACAAGCCAAGCACCGTTTACAACTAGATAAAGCGATGAACATGCGGTGCCGAAGCCCAGAGCAACATAAGAGCAAAGGTACCACCAATAGCCACACTGGGACTAGCACGTCAACATCATTGCGCACAACATTCTCATTTGTGCTCGAAGAGAGGGGAAGGGAAGGGGCCCGGTGGTTCCCTGTGTCCTTGCCCACCGCCCCTGTGGTTCGCCGTCTTGTGGTTCCACTATTATGGATTATCCCTCCCGCCCCCACCCCCGATTGACAAGGCCAGAGGCGAGGCCTGGCTTGGGGGGGGAGTTACGGGGATGACGTGTGATTGTTTGATTGGACGAGATGCCTGGCTTCGGGGGGGGGGGTGGGGGGCATACCATGGGGGGTGGGGGGGGGGGGGGCCTGCGACGCGGCGACGCGGCACCATACATGGGGGGCTCCAATCTCAAACCCCCGCTGAAGCCACGCGAGCCATGTTCTGAGACTGGCCCTGCTTCTCGTTACTAGCATTGCTTGTTTCGTGCTGGTGGAGAAAACTTTCTGTTTTTTTTCTCCTCTTTTGAACCTTCTCAAGCGATTTCGTTTCGGCTTGTCCCTCTTTCGTGTAAAGCGATTTGATGTGTCGGAGAACCCTATGTTCGAACTCTGGGTTCGCGGAACTCTACATTCGAACTCTGGGTTCGGGAAACTCTATATTCCAACTCTGGCTTCAGGGAAACTCTATATTGAACCCTGGGTTGGGAGAACTCTTTATTCGAACTTGGAGGAACTCGGTATAGAGTAACCCAGGGTTCGAATGTTGAGTTCTCCGAACCGGAGTTCGAATTTCGAGTTCCGCGAACCTCGAATTCGAACATAGAGCTCAGTGTTCCCAAATCCAGAGTTCGAATATGGAGTTCTCCGAAACTGGAGTTCGAATATTGAGTTCCCGAAACTCCGGGAACCCAGAGTTCGAATATAGAATTCCGCGAACCTGGAGTTCGAACATGGGCTCCGCGAACCCAGAGTTCGAATATTGAGTGTTCCAAACCCAGAGTTCGAACAGCATACAAGGTTATATGCCTTACGCCCATAACGCGCAACTGTTCATCTCTGACTACTCTTCTGCTGACGCACATCCCAATAGCTTGCCGCGGAACAGCACCTTGCCACTTGAAGTTCTGCCGCAAGACAGCAATCTGCAACTCGGAAGTCTCACACCTTGCCGCAAGACAGAACCTCGCCGGTTGCAACTCACCAACTGGAGTTCCCCAACGACTGAACAGGCCCTGCAGATTGAAGAACACCTCCAATATGTTGGAGCAGACGGGACTGAGCCACACATCTACAAACTAAAGTAACTGCAGAGCCTGACTTGATGCAACACATCTGCCCAAAACGGTTGGAATAGCCGGCTGATGTTTTAGGTTCTCAGCCCAGCCCCGTTGGCCGCCGTGCCATTCGGCCGCAGGTTGCAATTGATCGGTGCCAGCAAAAGTGGGGCTCCCGGCAGCAGAACATCTTGTTTACCTCGCTAGCTACACCGGATCTTGCTCGGGCAAGTCATGGCAGGTCTCAGCCATCCAGAAGATCTAGCTTGTTTGCTTCCATCGCTGGCGAGTGGTGGTGTCTCTGCTTTCCATGTTTTCTGGTGATGTTTGTTTCTGGAAGTTTGGAACAGTCATGTGAATGTAATACGAGATGAAGCTGTGGAGCGTTTGCTGGTACTTGAGCTGAAGACCCCTGTTGACGTGTCTTGCTTGCGCAGGCTGGCACCTTTGATTTTGGAGTTCATGGATCTGAAAAGTTTGATCATTATGGAGACCACGGGGCTGTTCTGCAATGACAGGCGCCCATTGCTGCTTCTCGGCAAACTTGAGAGTGGTGGCTTGCAGGTGATCTTGGTAGAGCGTCTATGCGCAAGCGCTTCAACCTTCCAAAAGGTTCAGAGGGTCCAGTTTCGGAGTTTTGACTTCCCGAAAGGCACTCTTTACGAATGATGGCCAAGAAGCTGGGCGCCGTCTGCTACGAGACACAGGCTGTGCTCGGCGAAAGCTGCGAGCCGAAGCTGGAAGTGCTGCGATGGTCGACGAGCCGAGGAACCTTTGCCCCTTTCGCGCTGACGGACGGACCCAATGGGCGTTTGAAATTCATTCCGCAGAAGCTCCCGACAAAACTTCAGACACAGCCGTGCAGCAGCGAGCCACCACATGGCTTTCGAGTCGCTCCTCAGCTCCCAAGAGCAGCCCAGCCCGTTGTTCCGCTGGTCTATGGAACTTTGAAAGGCTGGCCCCTGTATGCCGAGTTCTTGTTTGCTTGGGAGGAACATGGCAATGGAGAGGCTTGTCAACTGGGCGTTTCCGTAGGAGGATCACAAGAGGTGCAGCTGAAGTTTTCGCCAAGTGCAGGAGCGATTTTTCAGCATCGACCAGAAGGTAGCTTCCGCACGTGGCCAATGGACGATCTCTGGGTGGATGCCTATCAGCCGCGCACCCAAACCTTCTTGGAAGCTGGCGTGCACATAGGTGTCGAAGGAAAGATTACCTTCTATCGCAAAGGACCTTATACACATGAAGACAAAGGTGGCGACGCAAGACAGCTAGTGTGGGAAGTTGCCGGCGGGTTTGAATGTGCGTTTCCGGGTGCTTCCCAGCAATTTCACATCGTGCTTTGTGTGTTAGATGATCAAACGCCATTGGAGGCAAAGATCTTGAGGGTTGGCACCGAGCCTCCCGTGCCCCCAGTGCCAGCACGGCAAGCTTGGATCCCGGAACCTCACGTCCAATAAGAGTCAAGAGCCTTGGTGCTCGAGGCTCTCACAGTAGGGAACATGACCTGTAGTGCTTTGACAGTTAGCTCGAGCTCGGGTCTGCCTTTTTGCAGCTTTGTAGCTCGTAGTGTGCGCCCAAGTGCACGCTGAAGCTGGAGCCGCATGACCTCTTGTTTGGCTGTTCAAGCCTTTTTCCGCATTATGCGACTTCCGTTGTGTTAATGTTTGTTCCAAACTCAAAAGATTCTTCCTTGCGGACCCGCGAGCCCTTGTGACGAACTCTAAACGAGGTTGCAGGACGCAGAATAAGACGATTCATGTCTTCATGTCGTGCTGCCGGGAATGGTCCGCAAAGCCAGCCTTTTTGGCATTGCAGCTCTAAAGGGCTTGCACCGAGATGCCATCAAAGACTCCTGACCACACCACAGCCTTCGCGTGCCTACAAAGTTGTTGCCTCAAAAAGATTGCCTCGTGGCATGCAGATCTTCCACACGATCACAAGGTCCTTCTCTGCTGTAGATGTGCTTGATCTCAGTACATTTTCAGCGAGAGCTGGCAGACACGACGGCCAAGAAGCATCCTAGACGAGCAAAACCCTTTCAGCAGAAATTCAACGGATCCTAGCATCCTTCTCCTCGCGGCCGAACTCGACTTGCCATGGGATTGAGATGGAAGGAAGCGAATGGCTCCAGCGACACCACCAAGCGACCAGCTCCTTGCCTTGAGTTGCGGCATGTTGGCGGCTCTTGCACTTGCATCATGTCTTTTGGCCAGATGACCGCATCAAGAATCAGGTGCCGAGCTGCCTTCCGTGAACTTACAACCGTGCGTCTTCCTTATATAGTGTCTGAATCAGAGTCTGGGTCTATGTCGAGTCTATGCACTACAGATCTAACTCAACCATGTGTGCAGCTGTGAGCTTCTCCTGAGTCTGATAAGGTTCGGTATGTGGTTTTGAGCATGTAGTAACGGATCCGATCGGCCTGCATCACTCATTGGCGACAAGCACTTGGAAAGTAGGCCATATCCTGAGATCCGTCATGTGGAAACACGTGGCGCGCCTCGACAAGCCAGAACAGCAACGCACCCACGGCATCCAGCGCATCGGACATCAAATTCAGGGATCTCTTTTGAGGGCAATGCGGTCAGCCACGCGGGTCGGGAAGGTGAGCGGAGATCTTGCCACAAAGACGAGCGGTTTGCATGTTTCGGCTGTCCCCGAGTGCGCCATCCGCACATCTTTTGCGCGGTCAGATTGGGCGGGGCGGTTTTCTTCCCACTGCTGCACCGGAAGCACGGACAGCACCAGAAAGTTGCCGTCACTGCAGATGACCGGTTAAGTTTTATTTTGCGGTACTGATTTTTCTCACGGTTTCTCAACCGATTTCTTTGCGCCGGCTCTACAGCCCAGGAACCCGAAGCAGCGTACAGCCACCGATGAGGCCACGGGCCGGGATGAGTACTGCTGGTAATTGATCGTCGCGGCATAGCACAGCTCGAGTGAACTGAGGATGGTTCAGCTCGTGCAGAAAGCCAGGCTGGATGACCTGCATGCAAGTCTAGCGGCTACAGTAGCATATTCTCGGGTGGCACCTGCGGACATACATGGAGATCAGTAAGTCTACGCGCTAGACCGACAGACATTCAGGAAGGCGGGCGACCGACACACACACACACACACACACACTCTCTGCAGCCCTGCGGCCCTGCCAGCCTGTTGCAAGGTGCGTTTAGCATCGCATTGGACTACATGGCTTGAGGTGGGACATTGCGACATCACAGATCCTTGTGCCTTTTTGGCCTCCGCGTTTGATACGAAAGCAGGTGACCAAAATCTGCAGCGGCAGTGGATCGCAGCCTTCCATGCTGGCGGTGGATGCTCTGCATCCTGCATCCTCTGCACGAGCATCGGAGGCAGCTGGAGACGGGACTTCGACAGTTTCTGTGACGCGGGTCCCTGGCCATGTCCAACGCGTTCGACGATTCTCGCCGAGAGATGACGAGGCTGTAGCCGAGAACATGATAGGAACTGCTTCAGCCTGTGTTTCACTTAGACCTGTAGCTGTCCTGCTCGCGTGTGCTTGCCACTGCTTGTCCTAAACGCACGCCAGAATCATAATAACTGGTTATATAGATATGTAAATAGGACCACCGCCGTTTGTGGGACGAAGCTGGCCACGAGGCTAGACTGCACGACGGTCTCGAGAACTCTTCCACTATTCATTCGTGGCTGTGCCCGCGACCCCTCGAGGCCGCAAAATGATGTAACAGCTACAGTAGTAGCCGTGAATAGTTCACTGGGGCATAGGGTCCGAGCAGGCGACCAGATCAGTCAGTTGAGTTGTCGGTTTGTTTCTCCGGCGTGGGAAGCTTCCAAAAGTTCTTGTCCACAGCGGTGTTGTCGGCGGAACATGAAGCGTCCTAAAGCGAGACAGGGCTTGCATGTCAAAAGCCGGACGAAATAGCTTGGGTAGCAGCAATAGCTTTGCTCGTTTGATTCAAAGGTGTCGCCGTCCAAGACTTCGACGTCCGGATTCAGGCGACATTCAGCGCCACACGTCGCGTCGGCACGGCGGTCTATCTTGTCGAAACCTGCTTTGCGACGCCAGTCTGTGGCCTCTTAGCCAATCCTTCAGTTGTTCGGCATGCCACGTCGAGAAGTACTTCGACAGGGTGGTGTCTAATTCTGGGTCTTTGTGCTGCGCACATCTGAGGCGTTGGGAAGCAGAGATTCTTGCTCGATGCGCCGAGTCTCGTTTTGCGACACTCCCGAAGTCCAAGATCTCACTCCTTCTCAGCATGCTGAGGCTCGGAGTGCGTCTGGAAACTCTGAAAGCTCGCTAATCTTCGGTGTTTTCGTTTGATGACGACAGGATGCGGTGCACGCCCCGGCAAAGCAAAGGCCTCAGCCTGCCCCTTACATCCAAAGTCGGATGACATGTGGAAGTGCTCCGTACGTCGATGTATCTCCCGGCCCTTCCATGCATCAGTCAGCTGACAGCTCTCAGAGCCGCGCATAGGCTCAGCGAAGCCCCCAGCGGCTCAGCCTAGCACGCGAGAGTAGTAAAGGAAACTTGCACTTTTCGTGCATGGTTCCGACATATTGCAGCGTTTTCTGGCTAATCCCCATGTAATGCTGGCGAGCTGGGTTTGCATTGAAGGCAAACGGGCGTGACGCCATCAGATGAAGCTTTCGCAGCTTTCAGGGTGAAGAACGTTCTTGACCAGGTGGTACACGCAGACCTTTTGAACGATTTAGATGTGCCCTGGACTTTTCGGAACGACAGGCCGAACCACTCGTGCCACAAGGTTCGCTCCGAGCACATATTCCAAAAGAGCCGAGGCATCGTTTCGAGAGTTCTTGAGTGCCATGATCGCCGTGCTGCCAGTGCCCGATCGATTGCAACAGGTACCATGCACCTGGCCACCACCACCACAGCGTTGTGACGCCAGCTTGCATACCTTGTGTGTTGGGTTTTCGTGACTCTTGTCGTGAGTGTCCTGGCAGATGCAGTATCTGAGGGCTGCGCGGCCTGCGGCCATCGATGCTTCTGAAATACCGCTGTATTCAGATTCTGATGGATTGGCAGCTTGTCTTGATGGACAGCTTCAGGTATGAGCTTCTGCTTGATTATCTTGATTCGTCTCTGCCAAGGCAGTCCTTCGAACGCGGTTGGGCGAGGCGCACCGAGCGATGCAATCTTGGGCGTTTGGCCATCGAGCCACTCTCCAGCATGGATGTTGCCGCCAGGCGCAAGGCCAAGGGATGCAGAGCCGAGTCTTCCGGTGCCGCAGCTGCAGTGCGTCCGATGTTTAGATTCATGGCAGGCTGATGCATCAAGGTTACTCCATTACTTGCTAGTTCACCCACTTTGGATTGCTCTAGCAACATTTGCGCCGCTGCAAAGTGTGCCGGGATTGAAAGCGCATCTCATGCGAGTGCTGACACTGATGTTTAATAAAAACGCAGATCCGTATTTCGAGCTCCTGGGTTTTCTTCGTCGTGACGAATTTTTTTAGAAACTCTGCAACCGTTGCGGGGCAGATTCGATTCCCCGACAAAGAAGCAGCTTTCGTTGCCTGCCCACAGTAACACATGAGGCTCAGCCCACAGAACACATGTCACTACGAAACAGAACACATTGTCAGTAGCAGGGTTCTTTCGGAAGCCTTGGTGCTGTTCTAGATTCTAGCATCCTCATGCCTGCAGAGATGATTTTAGGAAACTGTATTCCCGAGGACATCGCACGGTGCATGACATTGCTAATTTCACTACACACGAACTTCATGCTGAAGAGTCCGAAGAGGTGTCACAGAACTCCCCTGCAGCATCCTGGAGCATGAGCATGTGATTGTGGAAGTTTCTGTGTCGTGCTTGACAAGGAAAGCTCCTCACATCAAGATCCGCATCCGTCGAGCATTCAACAGGGGACTCGTTCACCATCATCACCATCACCACCACAATGGACCCGTGGTCGGCAGCCTCAGTGATTTCATACACTCAATTGCTCTTGTTGCTGCTATGAACAGCGTTCGGTCAGACTCCCGAGCGACGAGTCCGTACCATTTTGCCTCCTCTTAGGTGATTTCTGATGCAGGGCAGCTTGCACCGCCAATTGTGGTGCACGTTAGAGCCCCCGAAATACTTCCAGCAACTGGCGCGAGCGTCGCCGTCTCGGTCTTTCTGTCATATGTCTCCTGAATGAGTAACGTGCCTTGACGTCCGAGCCAGGCTTTTCCGACTCCATCTCCGGTGGAGCCTCCAAGTACCCCCTTGACTTCCGCTGCTCTGCAGCGGCACGAGGACAGCGGCGACAGGGGCTTCGTGGCAAGTCACCGTCTAGTTTGGTGAAGCCCGTGTATGCCCGCACAGGCGCTTATGCAACAGCAGCAGGTTGACCATCCTGCGACTGATGCCATGGCGCTACTAGCTTAGCATCAAAGTTACATGCTGGTATAGCCGCAACTGCATCACGTGAGTTGCAGACTTGTCCGAGTGTGAGGCAAGCTGGCATTCCCGCCAGCCTATCCCTCGGCATGAGCATGCACCAGGGCGCAGTTTTCGGCGTCGTGTCCACTATTGCCGTTGAGGCGCGTTCTGGGTTCTTGCTGAGGTACGGATAGTGAGAGGTGACACAGCCGAGTCAACTGACAAGGGTATGTTAAACGTGGCTGTGACAACAGTCCGGAAGCCGACGTACCAGTGTACGAAGCTAGAATGTGTTATCGGGACTCCTGCCACGGGAGCATGGTGGCGCGCAGTATCATTTCAGCAGCCACGCATGACATATGTAGCCCACGCCTCGAACAAATGACGGTCACGATCTTCGAGAAACAGCGGGGTCCGAATCCATGGCTCTGAGCCTTTTTTTGGTATATTTTGCGAGCATTCCTCCGCTCATCATCATCTGAATCTGAGCAATCTCTTGATCGAAATACTCACGATGTAAGGTATTTTGCAATCAGCCACAAAAAAGAGCATTGCCCTTCCTGGACAAGCCGCTGTCAGATTGATGCAGGGTCGCAGCTGACTTACTGCCACAGGCGATGCAGATCACACTGGCCGAGAAACGAGGCTACGGCACCTGTCGCACGGTGAGCAAGTCTAGCTGCAGAGAAATTCTTGTCGAGACACACTTGATTTCGTGCTTTCAGGCAATGCAGCGGATCAAACCGCAAGCATAGCTTCTGCGGCTGTGCGTGGTGCCGTTGTGGGCGCAGCAGGAAATCTCAGCTTTCGCACTATTACTGTGTCAGTTGTGCATGTCAGTTCATGTTTATGTTGCACTACTCGTGTTGCGTCAGTGTGTGCAGGAGGCGGCATGGCACTGATGCTAGGCCCCACGGCGCCAACAGACACTCAGCAGAACTTAGCAGACTTAGCAGTGCAGCCCTGCACGGCTGCAGTTGAACTTATGCGTGTTTTTTTGCCAGCTTGAGTTGCCGCAGTAGCCGTAGAACCTGCGGCGATGCTAGTAGTATTGGTAGTTCTGGATTATCATTATCATGTCAGGCGATATTCGTGGGTCGCGTCCTCAGCCTTACAGGTATGTGAGCCTGTTGTTTGCAGTTGCATGTGCTGCAGTGACTCAGGGCCCGACGTTGACCCCCGATACTGTACCCCACATCGGCCCGTTTGCCAGAACCTCTGTGCCCGTGACCAGGCTATAGCTTGATTCGTGAATGGCTGGCGCAGGCGCATGTGCTCTTCGATGAAAATTGGTTGGAGACGTCCACTAAAGATATCTGATAACTTATATCGCTGGACAAGCTGTTGAGGGCTTTGTCTCTTTGACATATCGGCACTTGTCGACATCAATCCAGGTTTCATCTGAAGGACAGAGGTACTGTCATGCAGGTCAACGTCGCGTGTTTCGGTTTTGACGGGTTCAAAGCCGTGCAGGGCTATTCCTGGGCGCACAGCGAGATCACTGGGCCTGTGGCCTTGAACCGAGCCGTGGAAGTCTCTGGCAGTGCTGCCGGAGGGGTGGCGGGAGCGAGGAGCTCAGAGTCTGGCAGTGCAAAGGTGACCTCAACGCCTCTGAAACTGCTAATGCTAATGCAGTGCTGCTCTGCACCATCGCCTCGACAGGAACGTCAAACCCTCGAAGTGTAAATGCATGTGAGAGATGCTGCAAACCCCCAGCACAGAACATGCTTACGAGCGGGGAGAATCAAAAGAGACATCCGAACAGAGCATCTGATTTTCGAGCAGAAGGAGGCCATTGTTGGGGATTCGGCCCAAAACGACACCTTGCGCCATGTCCACACATTTCCAGGAATCATGAAACGCTCCGATCGAAGGAAAGGGTCCCTTGTTGGAGATCTAAGCAACCTCACTAGGCCGCTGGCTTCGAGGAAATTGCAAAATACGATACAGTGAAGTGGAGATGCTTCCATGGCCAAGGCAATGGCCGCTGCCACACTTCTCAGTGGCTGTGGCGGTGTGGTCGTGGCAGCTGCAGCTGGCTGTAGCGGATTTGCTGGCAGCTTGGGTGGTCGTGAGGTGGTGCCCTAGAAGCAACTGGTAGCTGGGGCCTGGGGCAAGACTGTGTGGGCTTTCGCACAAAGCGTGAAACAAGCTGTGATTCAGTGATGGCTTCCGAATCGCTGGAGATCCCGAGGCAATAAGTTGAAGTTGCGCGGTCGATCTTTGTGAGGTAACAAAAATCTGTCAGAGATTGTAAGCTTGGAGCATCGAGAATCTTCCCTGACATGAGCGGTGTAGTCAGGTGTTGCTGGTAGTTCTGCGGAGCCACAACCGATGCAGTGAGCCTAATCAAACAAACTGCACATGCAGTGAACTTAATACTGTATAGCTCCATTCCAGATGAATGCCGGGCGGCACATGAAGCCCTGCCTTGAAAAGGCCTCGTGGATTCTGCGACCCGTTTGCTGAGGCGGCCCTGTGTTTCCAGTCTTTGTCTTCGCAGAAGGCACCGAAGCGAAGGACCAGTCGCTGCAGCAGCGGCGGTAGCTCAACAAGACGCAGAGCCCTGTCATAAGTCGCGTAATGCTGTGCGGTCGAACTGGCGGTTGAGGAATGTCAGGGGTGCGACGGATCTTCGGGAGTTCTAGGAGGGTCTGCGTGCCAGTGATGATGTGGCCCAAGCATCCTGACTTCGATCGCAACATGCCGAAAGCAAGGAAACTCGAGAGATCACACCGTCGAGCCGGCATCTCAGAGGAGCGCCCATGACCGAAGCCACCGAAGCGACTGACCGGACACACGAGGCCCGAGCTTCTGGAGGCTGGGGAAAGCCGAAGCCCTGCAGTCACGACATTCGGAAGATGTACCAACTGCCATTAGCATGTTCGGAGTCTGACTGTGACATGTGATAACCGAGAGCCTGAAGCGCATCAAGCTGCCGTATCTACTACAAGGCGTATTCCCTTCTTGGTGTGGACCCGCGCTGCTCCAACACGGAGCTGAAGCATGCCTTTCGCCGTGCAGTCGCTCTGCAAAGTGCAGAGGTCTTGCCCGGAGAAGCTTGGCCTACACTTTTCAAACTCTTTGGAGTGTCCTCGTGATGTACCACCATTAGCTGCATTAGCTGTCACTAATGTAATTGGCAAATGAAATGAAAGTCCCACTCTTACAAGCACTGGTTTCAGTCAGGATGGCTCAGCATGCCCTCCCTTCGGAGAGGTACTGCGGGCCATGGAACTCATTCGATCCACCCGGCAGATGCCTTTGCTGGATGTGAGAAATTTGGATGGAGGGGAGAAATTACGCATCTGCAGACGCCCGTTGGAAACTCTACCACTTCAGTCTCACTCGCAGCTTGCCAGCTTCATTGGTGGCATGGCAGCTCAACCCACAGCCAGCACGGCATTCTGATAATTGTCTCTGAGACACTGTTTCACCAGATCATCAAAACCAGCTCGCCAGTGCTCATAGGGATCCCGGTTTGTACATATTCATATGCCCTCTGCGCAATGCCGATAAAGCACGCTGCATGCACGGCCGCCAGACCATGCAACACCATGCACTGCTCCAAAGATAAGTCAGGAAGGCCCTGCTTTGCCCTGGTAGGCATCAACGATATCTTTGAAAGGACGAGTCGACAACGTGGTCACCTCCTCACTCCAGACATCCTTGTGTAGGTCTTCGCGAGACGACGATGACGCAAAGTTTCGCTTATCTGCTACGAACCAGTAGTGTCTGGGGTTGTGAAGTTCTATTTCAGCTGGAGCGATTGGGCGATGCGAGCTTTCGCTCGGTCACAGGATGGTGAGTGATCGCTCGAATGCCTTCTAGTCGGCACCTCCCCGCTTGTAGCTTTTTCCATGAAGGGGTTTTGTCCTAGCCGCAAGCATGTTCTGCCCTAACCATGCCAACAGTTCTGTCCTACCTTTGGCATCCGATTTGTCCTAACCCTTGATCGGAATTCCCTTAACCGCCTGCACGCATTGTCCTAGTCGCGAAGACTGGCAGTTGGTGTAGCGCTTTCAGGCTTTGCCAAGTCTTGCAAGCACATAAACTGCAGAGGCTCTTTTTTTGGCAGCTAATGCCTGAGGTTTTGCCTCCAAATAGCAGTTCCGTTCCTAAGGGCCGCGTTTTGCCCCTTGGCCACGGAATGGGAATTCCCATCCAGGCCCCAAGAGTGATCCATGCACCCCTGGGCCATGAAATACAGAGCTGAGTAGGTTTTCCAGGGAAATACAGAATCGAATAGGTATTCTACCATTTCACTGCGTCTAGATGGCGTTTGACGAGCTTGTGGTATATGTTTTGGTGACTTTCTTGTAAGATATGATAGATGCAGCTGCAGCAGTGCAACAACAGAAACCAGCGTCACCTTCGTGGTTCGCTACTAAAACGCGTCAATGCCGCATCAAAATGGCAGCAGTCCGTGCCGAGAACACTGACGTCCGCGAGGTTTCGTTAGGTTTCGCTAAGTTGGCAACGACATGCAACGACCAACAAAAATCCAGCGTCACCTTCGGGATTAACGTTGGTGTGATGTATAGTTCCGGCACTGATGTGTAATTCCCTGACATCAGCGTCTACATGGGGTGATGCATATTTCTGCGCCCTGATGTGTGTTAAACCCCCCGCCAGTATATCTTCTGAGTGCAGTAACTAACCCCTATAACATCCTTAGCCATCCGCGTCGTATCCCCCCCAGCAAGCACGAATGTGCCCCCGCCAGCCGCGAACCGCTCAGCGGCAGAATGAGCCGTCACATAAGCCGACCTTTTAAACTTTTACGCGCCAAAACCCCTCACATCCCTCGCCATCCGCGTCGTATCCCCGCCCAAGCTGCGTTGTATATCCGCCCATGCCGCGTCGTATTCCCCGCCAGCCGCGTCGTATCCCGCCCTAGCCGCGTCGTGTCTCCGCCAGCGCCGCGTCGTATTCCCCGCCAGCCGTCGTACCGCCCCCAAGCTGCGTCGTATCCGCCCATGCCGCGTCGTATCCCCGTTATAACTGCGTCGTATCTGCGCCAGGCCGCATCGTATCCCGCCCAAGCTTCGTCGTATCATGTCGCATTATCCGCGATTCCCCGCCAGCCGCGTCGTATCGCCCCCTGCAAGCTGCGTCGTACCCGGCCGCGTCGTATCCCGCCCAAGCTGCGTCGTATCCGCCCATGCCGCGTCGTATTCCCCGCCAGCCGCGTCGTATCGCCCTCATGCTGTGTTGTATATCCGCCCCCATGCTGCGTCGTATTCCCCGCCGGCCGCGTCGTATCGCCCCCAAGCTGCGTCGCATCCGCCCATGCCGCGTTGTATCCCCCGCCAGACGCGTCGCATCCCCCCTTTTCCTGCGTCGTATCTGCGCCAGGCCGCGTCGCTTCTCCGGTGGATGGATGTGCGTGCGTGCGGTTACAAAAAACAGTTAAGTTCCCTTTGAAAACCTGCTGTTTCCTACAATGTGGCCTCTCCTCTTCGGTCGCTGTCACTGCGACCACCTACAAGCGCCTGCACCTCGCGTTGAACAAAGAGCCGTTTGAGCCCCGTCACAACTGCATTCAGTATCCAATGGACTTCCGACGTCTTCTAGTATGCCGATGGCCGGCTGACACTGGTTTAAACACGCCAAAAACGCCGGCGTCGGCCACATTTCTGAGTTTTGTGTTTGGATTCGTGAAAATTCCTGCCGGGCCAAATGCTTTGTGCCTCCATTGGATCTGGCACTGTCTGCATCTTCTTGCTACTTATTCTTTCCTTTGATATTTACGGCGCGTCCGCATCAGTTTAGGAGCTTGGACCTGCCAAGCCGGATAGAATGGATAGACCACGTCAGTTCACCGGCACCGGCGCTTGTCGACATGTTTTTTCTTCGTGAGCTGCACAGAGAAGGTCAGCTTGATTTCAGCAAGACTCAGCCTGTTGGCGACGTGCAGTCGCCCAGTTCCCACAGAAGGGTGCTTCTTTCCAGTGGTTTCTTCATTGTTGGTTCAGTGTCTTGAAGCTTGGTGAATGCTGTAGCCTTCAAAAATCTTCAAAAGTGGCCGCTGCAAGTAGGAGTCTGCTCGTGGTCTTCGAGCAAGGAGAAGCTCGATCGATATCAGTGCCGTGTTGTCACAGGTAGCCCACTTCATCTGGCACCAGCAGTAAGGCATGCATGTCAGCGAATCAAAGCTGCAAACATCAGCCTGTGTATGCACTGCAGATCCTTCAGGGTACATGGCATCCTCAGTTCAAAGTAGAAGATGTCCTGAAGATGCTCGATGTCTTCGAGCGACTCGGAGGCGATGGCTGGCCGGATGAGCCAAAGATGCCCATGCTCGATGCACCACCCGTACCTGCATATTCGATTTGTCTGACATTGTTGTGGCCGGTGCCGGTGTTCATCTTCTGGCTTCTGGATTTTCTTCTAACTCGCCGAAGACGCACAGTCCGCCAATCCAGCGCGGATACAGACGTGGGACAACAGCAGTCAGGAGCGCATGACGAGGACACAGACGCTTCACAAGATTATCCGCTACGTTTGGGCACGTTCGCGCGGGAAACACGGCCCGGCCATTTTCCAGTGATGCTGGCATCTTTGGAGCATTCCTTGCCGCACTTGGCAAAAGGTCGGGCAACGGCAGGAGGACTGGGAAAAGTCGTCGATCTCATTGCCAGGAAGCATCCATCCGACATATTGCTGGTTCATCCGATGCTGAAAGAGGAGGATGGAAAACTGCAGTACGGGCAAGCACACGAAGAGTTAATGCCTCTCCGACTCGTGATCGGCGGTGAGCATTGCAACGTCCGAGTGTATAGGTGCGTACCGCCACAGGATCCGGGCATGACAGATGTTCGAGTGGAGTTCCTCATGTGCCTTGGCCTCTCTTGACCCTGAAAGCACAGCTCGCGACACTCCTTATGAGCAGATCCCCCTCTGAAAAGTGTCTGAGTAAGCTAGTGGCTCGGCTGCGCACAAGATGCCAATGCAACGAGCCAAGGTTATCGCATGAGATTTTCCAATCACGGACGCTAGATGGCAGCTCAGCAGCAAGCTCTGTGAAATCCATCGTTCACCGTTGAAGAAGCAGGATTTATTGCTTCACTACATCTCACTTGTTAGACACCAGTATCAACTGTGTAACTATAGTTACAGCTAGAGCTTTCGGGTTTCGCAAATACACACAAAGGAAGTTGTAGCTTCAGCATGCTCTAGCTGTAGAGTTGTGCTACAGCAAAGTCCAGGCATTTATCCAAATCCTCTGTCGCGACGAGCAGTCCTGAAGTTCTTTTCGCTGTGGAACCAAGCGGTGGGTGCTCTATTGGCTCGTCACAAGCCCCGCGTCTTTCATTGCCCAGATTTTCATACTGCTATCGCACCCTGGTACGCGTTGCCGGAGCATCCAGACTTGCGAATGCTTCTTGTGCTGCACAACGCAGAATATCAGGGAACTATCAGCACAGACATGATTTTTGGGAGCAGGCTCAGCACCATAGCCTCATTGTTCAACTTGCCACCGCGAATGGTGGAGGACCATCTGGTTCTGGATGGGCGGTTTAACATGCTCAAAGCAGGAGTCGATTTCGTGCGAGAGAAGCAAGGTGGTCGTGGCGTTTGTGCAGTCTCCCAGTGGTATGCAGCTGAGTGTCATGCAAACTACGGCGTTCTGTGGCCATTGCCGAGTATACAAGGTTTGGACAATCCAATGCTCGAAGAGGAGCGAGCTGTTGTTACAGGGGATATCAATCAAGCTAAGGCCGAAGCGAAGCATCGCATCCAAAGGAGGTTTGGTCTTCAAGAAAACCCCAACGCACGCCTCTTCGTTTCATTAGGGCGACTGGTGCGCCAGAAGGGCGTCGACCTAATCGCGGATGTTGCGGGATGGCTTCTGTCCGAGCATGTGGATGCGCAGTTGATCTTGGTGGGTCCCATTGGGGATGGGTTTGGCCACTATGCTGCCAGCAAGCTGCAGCAGCTGGACGAGAACGGACAGTATCAGGGGCGATTGTATGTGAACATCCAGTTCATGTTGCTTGCCAGCATTCATGTTGCAGGAACAACACCAGTGACAAGCGTACGAGCCATCAAGGCGAGATCCTGAAGCTCTGAAGGACATGAAACTCGGTCAGTGCCTCTGCTCTCTGCAAGCTCGGTGAAAGTACCTGCAGTCAGCTTGCTTCCACCATGGCCCGCATGAGGTGCGGATTTCTGCCTCATGCCTTCGCGCGATGAGTCATTGGCTTATGCATCTTCGCATCACGCTGGCATGCCCTTCCTCTTGTTACTGCTGCCGCTGCTGCTACTGCTGCCGCTGCTGCTACTGCTTCCGCTGCTCCTACTGCTGCCGCTGCGGCTACTGCTGCCGCTACTGCTACTGTTACTGCCACCATCTGCCACTGCTACTGCTACTGCTACGACTGCTGCCACTACTATTATTACCACCACTACCACTACTACTACTACTACTACTACTACTGCTGCTACTACTACCACTACGACTACTACGACTACTACGACTACTACTACTACTACTACACTATTACTACTACTACTGCTACTACTACTACTACTACACCACTACCACTACTACCTACGACGACGACTGTTACTGCCACTGCTACTGGTGCTCTCGATAGTATGCTTCTGCTTCCGCTTCTGCTACTACCACTGCTGCTGCTACTACTACAACTAACCTACAACTACAACTATTAATACTATTACTACCACCACTACTATTACTGCTGCTACTACTACTACTACTACTACTACTACTAGACACAATCGCGGTGGCGTGTCCACTCAAGCGCGCGCGGAACAAAGCGTCGTTGGCTTCAAGTCTTGCCCCTGACCAAATGCTTAAAGAAAACTGAATCTCGTCCGTGAACCATACAGGGCTAACAACAGCCTTTCGTCTTCGAACGCACTACAAACTGGTTCATGCAACATTTCTATGCTAGTGCCCGCATTCACACCACGCTGAGACATCACAGAGGATGAAGGTCACACGGACGACTATTGACTGTTGAGGGATTCTCAGCATTTGGCGGGCTTTGAATGGCCTTGTGGTAAAATCATCGCTGTATCATTGCTTTTTTCCCGAATGCACAGCAGAAGGGTTCGCGTTTGAAGGATGGGCGTCTGGGGGTTAGGAGTTGACGCGAAATGCGTGCGCAGCGCCCGCAAGCATCCGCGTGTGTTGCTGTTAAGGGGGAACTCCAAACAACGCGCGTCCCCACGGAATTCGAATCAAGCAAGCTAAGGGGGAACTCCGCAATTCGAATCCGCAAGCTAAGAGGGAACTCCACAATTCGAATCCGCCGCCCGCCCTGCCCGCCGGCGGCGTAAGTGTCCCCACGGCGTTCGAATCAGGCAAGCCCGCCCGCCGGGGGCGCAAGCGGGAACTCCAAAGGACGCGTCCGCATGTGTCTGATTTCGCGCTGTTAAGGGGGAACTCCAAAGGACGCGCATCCCCACCGCGTTCGAATCAGGCAAGCTAAGGAGGAACTCCACACAGGTCGCGCGGGGGAAACGCAATCTTCCACTCCGGTCGAATCAGGCAAGCTAAGGGGGAACTCTAGAGGTCGCGTGGGGGAAGCGAAATCTTCCGCGCGGTTGAATCAGGTAAGCTCAGGGGGAACTCCACAGGTCCCGCAAGCGTCCGCGCATTTCGGTGCTTATCGAAGATCGTCGCAGTGTAGTTTCAGACCATCGGTGAGGCCGTTCGGTTACGTGGACATTGAGTTTGCTTGGCACGGAGCCTTGTTGGCCTGGCAGCCCAGGGTGCCTGTGTGAGGTGGTGAGCTTGTCTGTGCTTGTGTGATATATTCGCACCATTTCGCACACGAAGAGACGTGACGGGACAACGGTGCAAGACGACAGATGGTTGCGGCGATGCAGGTTGGCGCTCAAGCTGGAGGATTGGGGAAGGCATTCTGCCCTGCTGTTGGCAGTTCAAGCTGATGCAGCGAGTAATGATGCGATTAGCTTAAGGTGCCTGGCTTTTATTTCCTGGCCCAGAACAGGGAGAATTTGGGGCGACTGCGAAAGGAATTGCGCTCGGCAGTGTCAGAGCCTGACATGACACATACCGGGAGATGTTTGGAAATGCAGCTGCAGTGATTATTGTAACTAACAGTTTCAGCTGGTTTCCCCGAACTACTTTCTGTATCTCTTCAGGTCTCAAGCAATGCGAGCACCAAGATCACAGCTTGAGAGTCTGGCACTTTCTGGTTAATGTACGTTCCGTGGCGAACGGTTGGGCCTCGTCGTGCTTGGCACCTCGAGGTATGGCCCAAGCGGCTGTCCGCAGTGCCCTTAGCCTGTGCCAGAGCTCAATAAGCGCAACGTCCGTGTGAACAGAGGCTGTAGCTTTCCCTTGGAGCACTGGCAGCGGCGGTTGGCAGCGGCATATGGGGCCGTGACAGAAGCGGCTGGACTGCAAGGATTGTGCGACAGGCTGTGCTTGACGTGTTTGGAAACACATGTCGGTGGCTCTTTGAGCAAATTCTTGGTGTGGCTGACCACGGAATTTTGTTGTAGCTTGACGGCACGAACCACAAGGCGACATTCGAAGGCAATGCGCCAGAGCGCACATAGCCTCGAGCATATGATTTCGGCATCTAAACCTGGTGGGGTTGGACATTGCAGGATGCAACACAATTTCGGGGAGGCACGTAGAATTTCTTGCGCACAGGCTGAATGGGGACAAAATGCACGAACTGAGTCGTTGAAGCTCCGCGTACACAGATCATGCACAGGCTCGACAAGCTGATTGTTGAATGACACTCGACAGTTGCATCACGGTCAGCAGGTGCACCACTGCCTGCCTTGCTGCGCACTAGCAGTACGGCAAGAAATGCAGACATCATGGTACGGTTGATCGACAGGGTGGGGTCTAGGATGACAAGTTTCCTCCCCAGATAAAACGAATGCTGGTCATACAAAGCATCATCTAGGGCCATCTAGGGCCCTTGAACCTTCCTTGCGAAACTGCGCGCTCTGCTTCTGCTACGCCGTAGAATCGCCAAGGCCCTGGACAAAGCACATGAATAACGACACTGTCAAGGCTGCATGAACATAGCAGGAGTCAAGCTTGACAGGAGCAGCTGCACACGAGAGACTAGCACGCATCGTTTAGAAACCTTTTATTCACGGATGCCGAACCCTACTTTTACGGCCTTAGCCCAACCCGAAGACAGTACGACATGCGACTTCGACATCGTACAGGGTCCGCGCTCCTTGTCCTGCCATAGCTGTCGTCTTCTCCAGTTCAACCACTACGGTAGGATCGGGGGCCTCTCGATTAACAAAAATGTCGCAGCGGGATTCTGAATACACGTGCCAAGCATCCAAGCGTTCAGGGAAGTGTCGTGCACAGGCAGGGCCCAGGGCGGTTAGGAGAAAGCGGGTGGAAAGTACATCTCGCTGGGAATCGAGATGTGTTGGCAATGCTGCATGCGGGTCTGTCAGTTAGTGGCTGCTGCCTTTTGCACCAGACGCGACCCCGCAAGCTCGTAAAATGCATGGCCGAGGGTGTGCCAATGCTGCCGAGGGAACAGTCTGCCGGGTTCTCAACGAATCGACTTGCATCATGCGCTGCTATGCACTGCTCACTGCCACAGGGTGCATGTGGTGCGAGGCACAGAGCCTCGCAACTTTGGGCGACTGCCAGGACGACGCCTCGCAAGGACTTTGCCAGGTTGAGCTTCACAAAAGTGTTGACGTGTTGCCTTGCCTCCTGCTGAGATCTGCTGAGTCTCTCTTTCGACGTCTTTCGACAAGCTTTCATTCTGGGTTTCAGGTTTAAGCTCAACACGAGTGGAGGATCAGTCCAAGAGTGCAAGACATACGTTGCGCGCGGAAACAGTGGACGAGCACCGTTAAATCCGAGATGCCCGATGAATCCGCTGAGCCTGCCAAACCCGATAAACCCGCTAATCCCGCCAGTCCAAGCAGCACCCTCGAACTTCAACATCTGTAAGAGTTCTGATTTGAAGATCAGGCGCGCTCCATCATTCCAAGACCTTACACGGATTTCAAGATTTAAAAGAGTTCTGATTTAGAAATCAAGGGTGCCCCATCAGTCCAAGGCCCTATTCTCGGAGTTCAAGAACTATAGTAACCTGTAAGAGCTTTGACTTGAAGATCAGGGGCGCACCACCAGTGCCAGGCCCCACCCTCGGAGTTCAAGATCTGTAAGGGTTGTGATTCAAAAGTAAGGGGTGTCCCGTTAGTGCAAGGCACCTTTTGGCAGAGTTCGTTGCCCACGAATTTAGGCCCGCTGGACGAACAGAAACCCAGATCAAAGAGTTCCAAAGTGCACTCAACATTCCGGGTGCGCACACAAGACCAGGTCAATTCAGGCAAGATTTCTGTTCCCTCAGGGGTAGGTCGCTTATAGATTTGCTGAATGGGAGGATATGGGAGGCAATAGCACTACATTAGGTCTTCGATCGGCATCGAAGTTGTCTATCTTTCTAACTGCAGGTTGAAGACATTACAGGACTGCGGGAATTGCTGCCGGCAATGGGGCCACAGGAACCTGGCACTACCCGGAAACTGCAGGCTGCAAAACCGAGGATTCGAGGTCGCAACCAGGTTGCGACAGCCACGGGATAGTATTGGTAGGGTGCCAGGCTGTAGGCACAATTCCAGCGCATGGCCAGCTACGGCCGCTGAGCCCGCACGCACTGAAGACATGATAGACATGCATGTTTGTGTTGTTCTTCGAGCAAGGAAGGGGGCCTAGGGCTGCAAAGTGCAAAAACAAGGCTAAAGGCTGACCGTTATGTCTGGGCCACGGCTCCTGCAATGTTGGCAGGGCACTGCAAGTCATGGCAGATCATGGTAGAATGTCGGCGAACTGCTCGTCCAACTCGGTAATCTCAAGTCAGATAAGTCGGCGTTGATTTGTTTTCGGGCATGAAGCTGGCTCGAAGTGCTACAGTAGCGGTGCTTCCGTGTGCAGGATTTCGAGAGGTGGCAGCTCCGCCAGGCGGCGAAACAATGCGCTGTTTTACTGTAACTAGCTGCTAGCTGCTTTTCTTTCAGCGACTATGTCGAGACGGCATAGCCGAGGTTCAACAATTGAATTCAACGAGAGTCCGGTCCGCAGCTCATCTGTGGAAGATGGAGCTAGTCTTGCACCATGACTGCAGGCATGAGATTGTGCAGATGCCGAGGGACGACGTGCGGGGATGCGAACGTTCCGACCGTACGCTGACGCATCAGCTGCCGTACTTTTGCACCGGCCTCTGCACATTGCACTGCTCAGACCATCGGCTTTCGGCTCTCGAAGCCTCCGCTCAGGACTCCGGTGCAGCCAGTGCAATCAGGTGCGACTAAGAATGAGATCAGGAAATGGACAAAGACCATGCGTGTGCAATGTGAAGGTGATTCAGCAGTCACGGCGGGCCCGTTTCGAGGCTGACTGCCGTGCAAAGTCACATCGTTTCGTGAGCCCCAAGACACAGACAGCAGCTCAGCACAGCTCGTCAAAGCTGCTGTGCAGCTGGGTCAGAAATAGTATCCGGCGCAGCGATGCGCAGGTGCTGCCCCGGTGTCAGCCGTCATGGTCTCAATATGGCTTCTTAATTCTTGCTGATACTGCCTGACGGAATCGCTCTCGACTTTGGACCTTACCTACCAGAGGTAGCTTCGGCTGTCGGCGAAGAGTACCACCACGTTAATGCCAGCTTCGCACGCTCTGCGGCTGGACCAGAGTTCATGACGCAGGCAGCTGTGTTTTTGGAAACAGAGAAGAAAAGGTTTAACGCCGCGCTACCTCTAGATCTCGCAGAGGAATTGGACGAAGACGAGCTCGCAGAGAGAGTGAAGCAAAAAGTTCGTGCCCATCACTGGGGCATTGACGAGGACGCGAAAGCCCGAAAGCAAACCGGCAGTTTTCGAGCAACCCCCTGCATGGACCTTTTGCAGATACTGGAAAGCGTTGGTGCGGATGTGGACTTTGAGCGTGAAGGCAGCACTCGCCTTACGCGGCATAAAATTCCAGATCAAAGGGGATATACTGTGCTTTGTTTGGGCCCTGCTCACTCAGGTCCAATGGCGCGATGGTTACTTGGTCGGACCTGCGGCTGGGTCCTTGTACCGACTTGTACTGCGCGAGTGTGTCTTCTGATATGATGTGTCATGGATCGCGATCGCCCTGCGGCACGAGGTGTCCAGCGGGTCCACATTCTCGTCGCACTGGGCTACGTGGCTTCACCTGTTGCCGAGTTCTTGACGTTCCTGACTGCCACCGAGCACATGCCTCGGCAGTGCCTCGGCTGTCTGTCTCTTACGAGTTGATACCGTACTCCAGGTGGGGTCTGAGAGGCGGGGAAACCGTGCCGCGATTCGCCAGGAGCTGAGAAAGCACGCTTGAGAGAGGCTGAGGCGTGTTGAAGCGATGATCGTGATCGCAGGCCCAGCGGCTCTTCGGTGAAAAAATAGACCCTCCTGCGGCGTTCTAAGCTGCCAGCACAGCGGATTCATTTGTGATACTGAGTCCATGGAGTGATATGCCTGCTCGGTCATGCAGGATCATACGTTTCCATAAGGAATCTACATAGAGCTGTTCGCACATGTTGCCAAGATCTTGAACATGTTGCTGTTTGCCATCAACGCTCTCGCGTTCAGCGTGGCAGCGCCCTTCTGGGCTGTGCTGAGCCGCTGCTTGCTCGAAATGTTGATGTCTGACGCTGTAAGTTGCATGGAACGTGACCAAGTGATGTGCCAATTCCCTTGTAGCTTGTGTTCGCTCTATAACAAGCATCAATGATCATTATACCATGATGCATGAGCAGTCGTGAGCACGTCAGCTTAGAAGACGACCATGTTTGGAATTGTCGGAGATGCTGCCGAGGCTATTTCCAGCCCAGGCGGATCATGGCAGTCAGTCTGCTGTGCTTTGCTCAGTTGTAGGGGACGGGACTGACTGCTTCTCAGCACGCAAGACATGAGCCACTCCTGCTATTTACTTGAACAAGGAGCTGCTTATAGCTGCTTCTTGTCACGTGCTTCCACGGCCTGGCATGACAAGCGCGCTCGCGAGAGGGAAAGGGATCAAAATATGAAAAAATATAAACAAGAAATAAGTTTGTACTGAAATCAAAGTATAATTGGATCGAAAACTTAAACTAGCTGAAAAGAGCAAGGAAGGAAGGAAGTAAGCCAGGAAGGAGGGAAGGAAGAAAGGAAAGAAAGGAACAGGTAAGGAAGCAAGCAAGGAAGAAAGGAAGCAAGGAAGGCAGGAGAGGATGGAAGGAGACAATGAAGGAAGGAAGAAAGGAAGAAGGAAGGCAGGCAGAAGAAAAAAATACAGGAAGGAGGGAAGTAACGGAGGTATGCATACATACATAGATACATGTATAAAGTGTACATATATACTAGTTTTTACTAGTACATACACGCTTGCTTTATGTATTTAGCAAGCAAAGGCGTGTGTGTACATATGTATATATGTATGTAAATGATAGTTCTGCATACATATACATATATATACATATGTATATATCCAACGCCACATACATACATACATACATGATACATATGCATAGGCATACATATACGGATCCATATGTATATGTATATGTATATGTATATGTTTATGTATATGTATAGGTATATGTATATGTATACGTATACGTATACGTATATGTATATGCATATGCATATGTATATGTACATGTATATGTATATGTATATGTATCATAATTGTTACCAGCATATAGTGTACATTCAGTTTATGTTTGTGTGTTTAGGGCAAGATGGCGCTGTCTTCACTCCATCGCATCGAAGATCACGCCCGCAAACTCTGGAGGAGGGAGTGCGAATCAACGACAGCAGCATGCTTCTACTGCAAGATCTTCACCGCCAGTGCCCTGCGAGCACGAAGGTCTGCACACCAGTCAGCTGCAGCCGCAGCACAACGCCCAGCAGCATTTCAATGTCAGCATGATGATTCAACATGCGCCACTCTTCGGGAATAACCACCCAAGAAGCAGAGAAAAAAACAACGCCTAATCAAGGCAAACCAAGCCTCCCAAAGAGCCTTTTTGCCAGCACTCGCAAGAACCGTATATCTCCACGGCGGGCATCTTGGATCCGAACAGGATAAAAATGTGCAGCGTCAGTGGCCGCAGCCCCTATAACATCCTATGACGACAGCAGACAGTTCTGCTGCGTTGACAGTAGTCTCCATCTCCAAAAATCTCCAAAAGCACGACATCACACCTGGATATCAGATGCTCTCCGCCAAGCAACTGCGCAAGCAGTTTGACGACAATCTGCGTCTTCCGGATGGCACGCGCTGCCACCCGCAGATATCCGTAGCCACCAGAAGCTCTCCCTCTCCTGCACCGACGGATGTTGCAGAAAAAGAGCTTTCAACTTAACTCATCAATCCAAAAATGCACGACATCCAAAGTCCATGAAATCTGATGCGGACAAGGAGTGAACTCACTCCACGCAATTTGCGGCCAAGCAAGCATCACGAGCACGCCTTGCAGATCGAGTGAAGCAGTATTGAGGTCCAGGCCAACGCTCCTCCGTAAGTCAACGGCTTTCACACGCTCCCACAACATGTGGAATGTCGTGCCGCCAGGGCGGCCAGGACAAGCAGGGCAATGCTTACCCACATCGACCACCTGGGCCAAGCGCTCCAAGTTGGGCTCCGCAGCAACTGCACATCTCCAACTCAAGGCAGGATTCGGATCCATGTTTATAAACTTATGTACAACTTATGCATATGTATTTATATACACACAGTTTATGCATGGTAGTATTTTTACATGTATAGCGCAGAATGAGGCGGGCTCTAAGCAAACAAAGTGACAAAGTGATTAAATGTACCCTCCACGCACCAACGAACTACACTCCGTTACATATGCGATTCTTGCTGCTGCCGCGTTCGTCAGGCGCCCGCTTGCCGATGCTTGCTGGAAGAGATGTCTAGAGAGCTTATGCAAATCCTTCATCAGGAGGTGCGCCTGGACGGGGGAGGGAGCAAGCCGTTCCCTCCCCCCAACCCCCCACCCCGGCTCAAGCCACGCCGAGCAAACCAAGCCAAGCCATGTTTTTAAAACTGCCTCTCTGAGCCCTTCTGCACTCCGTACCATCGCTGCTGCACATGCTACACACCAAAAGGGTGCGCTTTGCTTTCTTATCCCGAGCAAATAGTGCGACCAGGGCAGCAAATGATGCATGGAGATTGTTGCGGCAGCTTGTTTACACAGGTCCTTGATTGGTCAAGCCAAACCCAACCAAATCAAGCCATCTTGAAAACTGCCCCATTGCGCTCCGTACCATCACAAGCTATATACGAAAAGGGTGTGCCTTGCGCATGCCAAGCCAAGGCAAGCCAAGCCAATAAAGCCAAACCCAACCAAACCAGACCATCTTCAAGACAGCCCCCTTGCGCTCACGGTGTAAGCAATATATATATATATATATATGCATAGAGAGAGAGTGGCCGAGGGGTCTCAACAGCCCTCATGCCCGGCGGAAGGAGAGAGAGAGAGCGAGAGAAAACGAAAGAGAGAGAGCGCGCGGTGTAGGGTGTAAAACCCCTACACCATAGCCCTGGCGAAAGAAAGAGAGAGAAAGAGAAAGAAAAAATAATAATAAACACACTTGCTGCAGCGCCGGCTGCCAACACTTGTCGGGGAGCAAATGGCATTAGGCGCGGAGGGCCTGCAACTTCTACAAGGCTGGACGGGGGCACTCTGGAACGAACTCATCCGCCTCGTGGAGGATGACCTGGAGGAAGCCGTCCTTTCGAACCCACCTCCACCAGCTGCGGGGCTCCCAACACAAGACCGGGAGGAGACAACTGTGCTGTGGCGACCTGTGGGGGCACAGGGAGATCTTCAGCAAAGCTCAGCTGAACCCTCGATCTTCGACGACTGGGACCCCCAGGACATCCCAGGAACGGAGACCGAAGATGAGGCGTGGGCCTGGGGCAATCCCAGACGACGACGCGGCGCGACCGAGAGCGGGGAAAACAACCACCATGAGCGCCCGCCCTCGAGCCCTATGACACGATCGAGAGCGTACCAGCTGCAGCAAGACCCCCTGGGCGGCAGTGAGACTAGGGAGCTTTTTGTCGGGGGCGACGCCACCCACAGAAGGCCCCGAATGCATGCGGTGCTTGACCCTCACTAAGTAGGGTCTTGAATGTCGCCAAAGTATGTAATGTGTGTGTTTTTTGTTTTTGTTGAGGTCAGGTAGTCACAACCACCACCACCTGCGCCCGCACAAAAAGGGGGCACCGGTGTCCTGTTTGTGATGTCCCCCTACTCCGCTGGGTTACCCAAATTTCGGTGCTTCTTCACCCAACGACACCGGACCCCTCCACAGCACCACCACAACCAATGCGGGGACCCAGTGTGTGTGATGTTCCTACAAGCAACAGTCCACCAAACCAGAAAGCAGCCGGTAGTGACACAGAGCGGGCGACGCAACAGCCCATCTGACCAGTAAGAAGGAAACAGAACTATTCTGATCGCGGGGCGTGTGACCTAATCACGGGGACCTAAAGGAACCTAAAGGTACTTGGCTTCGCACTGGACATCAGTTGGCCAGAGCCCGCAAGCCGTGTAAAGACCACGGCCTGCTAGCACAGACAGGCGTGGTTGGCGAGGCGTGGACCTTGATGTTCTAGTTGAGCTTAACGAGCATAGTGTGCACTGAGTGCGAGGAACGCCGAGCCAGCACGCCTTCAACAAGTCTCACACCGAACACGGACAACGGCGTAGCGCTCGCGCGCAGGGGTGGTAGGGTTCTCCCCTACACCCCCAAGCAGGCAAGCAAGCAAGAGTGGAATGGCCTGGAGCCGGGAGTTTGGAATCGCGCGTGTCGAGAATTACGCACCATCGGAATAACGAATATCTGTCCCGTTCCGTGGACCTCATGGAGAGTTCGCTCATAATGAATAGTTAACACACAGCCGTGATATGTTGCTGTGTCATCTGGATCGAAGATTGGCTCCTTAAAGTAACTAAATGAAGCATGTTCTTGGCCTGGGCAGAAAGCATATCCTGATTGGTTCGGGCTGTATTGGTGGAGCTTTGGTCAATTGTCATTTCGCCCTAAGGCTTTTTAGTTGCGACTCGATTCTGCGTAATTACTTGGACGTAGGCTTATGACGTTTTTTCATGTCCCAGGAACACCTTGTGGGGTTAAAGGCGATAACCCGATGTACCGTTGGATTTTTGGGTTTGCCATCCATATTTCACGATCATGCCGGATCCAAGCACTCCAATCAGGGTTTATAAATACGGTTGGCCAGCTTCTACATTCCCTTGCCACCGATCTTTTCTTAAATAGTCAGAGTTTCTTTGGGAACAAATGGTTTGCCGCCCACTATCTCCCTTGGGGGGTTGGGTTTGCCACACAACATACCTGACAAAGCCGTCGGGCCTGAAGGCCCAATCACCTTTTGCAGGGTTTGGTGCTTTCTGCTGGCCTTCTGGGCACCAATCCCCGTACTAGTACATATTTTTTTCACGAATAATGATTACTAGGATTATGTGTTTTGGTGGATCAGGTCATCCCTTCAAGGGCTTGGAGGTTTGACAACCATCTCTATGTTCTGAAAATAGGGGTTCTTATATTCAAGATCTTATGGTAGAACCACAGTTATCAATGAATCCGAACCCTCGAAGCCTGTTTGTAATGGGCGGTTAGGGCCCTGGGTCTTGGAGAACTAGAATTCTTGATCAGGTTATTCATTTCGTGACATTGCATTTGCCAAAAGACCCTTTTTTGCAGAGCCACCCAACCATCTCTCGTGTTGATGATGTGCCACCCATCTCCGGCTTTATCCAAACCCTATTCAAAGTTATGGCTTTTGGGAACCAATGCATGCCTTCCACGTATTGGGGTTTGTCATCCATCCCTCCTTGCTTAGGCCTTGGGGACCCCTGCAGAGGTATTTAGGAACCAGTCACTGCTTTTGGGGTTTCAGGTCCTCGACGGTACTGACACGCATGAACCCATCATGATCTATGTAGTTTTTGATTTGGACCCTTCGGTTTTTCTTGATCATCTTTAACTTGTAGCCATTCATAAAAGCAGCGGCTTTATTCTATCAGCACCGGGATATATTCCGTCGTACTCCCGCTCTCGCCCTCTATGCGGTCGTACTTCCTCTCTCGCTCCCAATACATACATATGAGTATCCAATTGTTTCTATACATATATATATATATATACATATATATATATATATGTATGTATGTATGTATTAATTAGGCGATGGGTCTTGGCGAACCACCGTTTTTTGTAGGTCTTTCGTTTCATGGCACCGCTTTTGCAAAACTCATGGTTCGGCAAGGCCAACCAAGCAGCTCCAGTTGTGATGATTTGCCACCCACCTACATATGACTTGTAGGATCCGAGCTACTTCCTCCTTCGTCCACAACACTTACATATGGACAATTACTACATATTTACGTGTATGTATATATTTATATACACATGTATATGGGTACATGTGTATGTGCATACGTACGGACCATACGAACATGTGTACGTTCACACATATACATACATGCATACATTTAGACCCTGATACACACATAGTAGGTACAGGTATATGCATATGAGCATACATGTATACACATACGCGCGCACACACACACAGACAGAAAAACAGTGGTCAGGCGTCTGGCGTTCCCAGCCGCCCCACCCCAATGGTATGGTCTGGTAGGGTTGGGGGGGGGTGGGGGTTGGCGTGTGCGAATATGGATCGGAGCTGTTGCCGCTAGATGGTGGGGTTGGTGCTAGGGCGGCCAGGGATCACACGCAAGCCCTAGGCAAGCCATAAACCCCATAAGATAGCGCATGCTCCTGTTTTTTATTAACCTTAACCTGTACTTTAAACCCTACACCCAACCCTTAACCCGCCTAAATGCAAACTCTAAGCCTAAAGCAGAACATGAACCGTCAACCCTAACGAATCAAGCCCTTGTCGATCGATACCTTTTAACAATAAACCCCAAACTCAAAAGCTTAAGTTAAGCCATAAAACCCCACAACCACCCCACGGGGGAAAGAGAGACGCCACACCACAGGGGAGAGGGGGGGCCGTTCCAGCTTAATCATTTTTTGATCCAAACTTAAAATTTTGGATCTGGCACCATCTGGCACCCTTATGTTGTTCACTAGCCTTGTTGCGCAGGTACTGGTTCTGATTCTTGTTGTATCATGTTTTTGACATTTGTTGATCCTTGTGGCTTCATTTTTTGATCCTAATCTAAATTGTTGTTGATGCGTCACCCCTCGTGAGAGGGCCGAGCCATGTCGGCATCATCGCGCAGACCAATGTAGGAAGGTCCTCATGCATCTTTGATTCGCCTCTTGATCTTTGTGGCCACTGTCTACGTTGCAAGGACGGTTGTTGGTGTCTCTTGGGTGGTGCATTCAAATTGCTGCTTGAACAGCTATGATGTGTTCTATGGCGGCATGCAGTACAGGCACACTGATGGAGCTATGTACCACTCAATTCAATGGATCGTTGTAAGACTTGTGTGAAGGCGAAACCGTGAGATGCAACAGACGTGCAAGTGATCGCGATGTGTTGCAAGGCTTCAAGTGCCGCTCTTGCTGACCTTGTGGCCAATGTATCCAAGCTTTGCTGGGATCCTAGAAAATCAAGCAACATGTGGAAGAAATCAGCACATGCTCACGCGAAGGAGCTGGCTTGCCTGTTGGTTTTCGCACACGGCTTGGTTTGAGCCCCAGAGAACAGTCCTTGCGTTCCAGCATTGCACCCTTTTCGTTTAGGGAGTACCACTCCCCGCATTCGAGGTAACGGCGTCATCATTTTTGTTCCTTGTGTTCAACTTCATGATGTCGATCAAGGCGTGTGAAGCAGAAACCTGTGTCCGTTGCAGCCTGGTTGTATCTGCTGTACTGGGCTTGCTACAAACACCTTCAAACCGCATACGGTGCCCCAGTTGGTGCGGGTGTTTGGGGCTGGCCATAAAAAGCATACCCACGTGCGCAGTATCACCACGAGCTTCGTTGAGCAAGGAGCGTAAAAGCGGCAACCGCAATTTTGGCTCCAGTCTTGTTGTCTGTTCTTGTGTGTTCTTGTCGTTGCGAAAGATGGACTTTGCAATATTTCGTTCACACTTGCAAAAAAGCTAGTTGCTCAACCTGTGCAGCTTTAGTTTAAGGTTGGCGGGTATGATGACTGGACTGTCAGGAAAGCTTGTTACTTGGCATCCGGACCTCTACATTTAAGGATGGGGCGCTTAGGGCTGAGGGCGATTTCCTCAACACTGGATTGGGAGGAGCGTTCCTTGGGTTTCTTGAGTTGAGTAGTTTGCTTCACGATCAATCGTTCAGGCACCTTACCTAATAACTTGAGCGATGGTCATTGAAATGGAGTCGCTCTCTAGAGCGTAGGGTTCAGGGTTTACACTGTACACCTTCGCGCACGAAACAGGGTTCGGATGTTTAGGGTTCGGGCTTTAAGCTAAGTTGAAGAAGTCAGCAGGGAAATCTACAGGATTTAGGGTTTGCAAACATATGTAAACGTTAGGGATTAGGTTTTGGGGTTGGGTTCATAATGAGCGCCTCAACTAATTCGATTTGCAAGTTACTGTAGTTACTTGAAGTATGATTGCGGTTACCGTATTTTCGCGTATTTACGTGTATTGACTATGTTCCTAGTCACGGCCCTTCAATTTAAACCTGACCCTAAGTAAGCCCTACACCCCTTAGCCCTGAGCCGGATAAACCACAAATTCTAATTAAGTCCGTTCTGACGTTTGAGTTTACAGGCGTCTATAAGGGTTGCTGTAAGTCTTGGGGCTCGGGTCCCCCACAGCGAATACACTATGTGACTATGTGGTCTATGACCACGTGCAGCAATGACCAAATTTCGGAATGCATGGTCCCGAGAACTTGACTTTGGAAACTGGAACTGGCGTGGGCCATGAAAAGCCATCTATCCCGGAGGCGAGATCGCTGCAGTCTTTTCACATGAACACGCTTCATTCCGCACGGAAGTGCGCTCGCGGCGTGAGAGCGCAGAGGCCAGTCGCGCAGCACGGAAGCATGTTTCACTCTTTGCACACAAGTGTGCTCCCGGTTTCGTAATGTCTCTTTGCGCATGGAGAGAGATCCAAGTGTGCTCGCAGATCCCAGCTGAGTGCATGCTGGCAGGTGCCGGCGTTGAGTCGAACATGTTTGGCAACCTAATCCTTTGAGCCCTGCCTACACTCCCCCAGCTTGTGCGGTCAGACGCTCCGAATTTAAGAATTTAATATTTTTCATCATCCGCCCTGGCATGAGCTTTCATGGATCATTCAGTTGTATTTTCCCTTGAGTTCTCCGTGGTCGTGATTGCGCTGCCAAAAGCAGACCACTAGACTAGAAAGCAAAGTCGACAAGTTCGGAAAAATCCTGCCTACTGCGAACTCCCACTGCGCGCAGACGCAACATTTCGCTAATCGGGCGCCGGAAAATCATTGAACGTCTTGCTGCACTATCGACTGCACGCCAGGGGTGGTTCAGAAGTTTTCCTTCTGAAGCTCAGAAGCCAGAAGCTCGAGTCGTCAGGAGCTTCAGAGCGTCAGTGAAGCTCTGAAGCTCGAGTATTTCTGAGAGTTCTGATTTCGAAATCAGGGTCGCCCCATCAGTCCCAGGCTCCACCCTCGGAGTTCAAGGTTTGCAAGAGTTCCTGACTTAACAATCAGGGGCGCCCCATCAGTCCAAGGCTCCATCCTCGGAGTCAAAGGTGGGGGGTGTCGCAAGTCCGAGGCTTCTGGAGCTTCAAAGCGTCGCTGAAGCTCCGAAGCTCGAGCTTCCAGCGCTTCAGAGCGTCAGATGCGTCAGTGAAACTCCGAAGCTCGAATGTTTAGGAACGTCGGCGAAGCTCTGAAGCTCGAGTCTTCAGAGAGTCGGCGAAGCTCTGAAATCTCCAGTCTTCATGGAGGTCCGCGAAGCTCTGAAGCTCGAGCCTTCCGGAGCTTCAGAGCGTCAGTGAAGCTCCGAACTTGAGTCCTCAAGAGCTTCAGAGTTTCACTTGATGTCGGAACCAACAATGGCGGTCGCTCCAACTATCAGCCAGTTGCACGGCGGCGTGTGGGGTAAACGATACGTTAAACTGCGTTGCATAGCATCTGTCCCATATGCCTTGCTCAATGTATGTGAGAGACATGTCGGCTTTGAGGCATCGATTTGGCTAGCTGACCATAGCTGACGTCTCACATACGGATGCGGCCCCGCCCCAGGGCCTTAGTGCAGAATGGGTGGGGGTTCTTTTTGGATGTGTTCGTGTTCTTTGGTTTTGTTCTGTGTAGTTTTTCAGGGAGTCAGTGGGTCGGTGCCGTGTGCCGGGCGCTAATCAGTCAGTTTGTGAGTCGTCCGTCGATCCGCGAGCCTGTGGATCTTTTCACACGATTTGGCGTCACACCAAGGCCTATGAGCTGCGTAATGGAGAGGCCACAGAGCTTGTCCATAGAGGCGCAGAGCTTTTCTGCGGCGTCGTTGTGGTTGCCGAACTGCATCAAGAACATGAGAGTTTCCGCGCTCATTTCCGGAGCAAGTGGTCGTGTTGGATGGAACCTGGCCAATACGTGCTGCATGGGAGCGGCGCGCAGGATATCATCCAGAACCGCTACTGCCGACTCCGTGGTCAGGTACACGCGTGTGATAGGGGTGGCACGTAGAGGCTTGTTCAGAGATTCTGGATGGTTCTCCTGGGCATCCAGCGGCAGTACGATAGACAGCCACAATGGCCTCTGGGGTCGGGATGCGCATATGTGCTACGCAGCTGGTCTTGATACGCAGCAAGTTAACTGATTGCATCCTCATGTCTCATTTGCCACGCCAGCCTCTGCAACTGCGCGATTGCCGCTGTCAAAGCCTCGAGCTCCGTAATATCATCTGGCCTCCATTGATCTCCGCGATGCGAATTTCCCCAGCGCTCCCCTCGCGATGCTGATTGCCAGTTGCGCTTGCCGCGACCCTGCCCGAAACTGCTGGAACCTCCACCATTACCATGCGGCCCTATAGCTTGGCCGATTTGGCCTCGCGCTCCTCTCAGAGGACTCAGAAGGAGCCTTATTTTGCTGTGCCTGAGTGCATAAAGGTATTGAAGAGTCCAAGTTCCGCCTGGCTGATTGCATCTATGGTCAGTGCTCCTGGCGGGGCTCCCTTTTGATCCAGACTGCATACACGTTACGACGAGGCCGGCTCAAGGGTGGCTGTGGAGTTGCCACCATGTCGTCGCCCGGAAGGTACCACCGATCGGCAATTCTGGGGTGACCGCGATAATGCCCGGAATGTACCTGGCGAGCTGTAGTCAGTAGGGCAACATTCGGTGCAGCGGTTAGTGCATGTAGGAACTCTTGCTCATGCCATGCCTGTACCAAATCTTGTAGATCGAATGCACCTGCAGGCATCGGGAGAAGAAGCGGTGAATGGCCGGAGTAACGTCGACGTATTTGTCGTTGTTCAAGGTGTTCGTACACCCTGGAGTACTTGTAGGTTGTATGCTCGGGGGGCCCAATCAATGAGCTCCCTGAGCTCCCTGATTTGCTTGCTCTTTGCTGGCCTTCACGGCACTCCAGCACGTTCTAGACATGCAATCGGGTTAAGGGGGTTGAGGGTTTCCTTTGGTTTCTGAGCGAGATAAGTGATGCTTGGATTAGGACGCAACGGCAACCGACCGCTGTAGCCATCGGCTCGCAGCTGGTCGGTTGCACTTTTGACTTGCCTTCTTTGTCTTCTGGTCGGTCCGTCCTTTGTCCGTCCGGTCTCTGCTCTTGTCAGGTGCTTCCGATCTAGGCTCGAGCCATGGCTTCATCGTCTACAAGCTCTGAGAGATCACACTCTCCTGACCGCCCGGGTCCGCCCGGTGGTCTTGCAGGACTGATCTCCGCTCCTTGGGTGGCTGCTCCTCATCCCGTCCGTCAGGACCGGTGATGGTGGACAGCCTGCTACCAGGTGGGTGCTATGCTCATCTTGGTTTGGCTCCGTGGTTGGCTGTCGCGCCAGGTCACGACTCAAACGACGAGCCTTTTGGTCGGGCACTCAGGCGTCTCGGCTGATTGCTGGTGTGTGCTGATTGCCGGCGCCCAGCCTGTTCACACTCCGAGCCCTTTTGGAGGCGCCCTGCGCTTTTCTCGCTTCGGTCTCTGCTTTCCCGATGGCAGGTATCGTCACACCGCCCACAGCGGGTGCTCGATCTCCCGCTGGTTCGTTGAAGGACCGTTTGCAGCTTTGTCCGTCTTGCTTCAGCTTCTGGTCGTCACGGTTGCGCATGCCAGCAAATTTTTTATTCTGCAGCCTGCCCTCTTTCTTTGCCTGCGGTGGAACCATGTCTGTCTTCCGCTCCGCCCGAGGCTGCTGCCGCTGCGCCCGCCCGTCGGATGTGCTGGCGGAGCTGCTGACCTTTCCGGATGAAGTGCTCTGGCCCGCCTTGCGGGACGTCCCGCCCGAGGACATCATGCATGAGTCTCCACGAAGACATGGTCGGCCTTTGCCGACCGTCTCGGCCTTACCCCGCTGCGCTTCTCGGCTCCGCCGACACCGTAAGTCGCCTCTTCGACGAATCTGTGTTCCGTCCGTGATTTGGAACGTCCAACTGGCAAGCTCTTGTGACTCTTGTGGCTTTCCTCTCTTTGCTGCTTTCGCCCGTCCTTGGCTCCTCTGTACTCTGACCAGCACTCTTTCACACCAGTGCTCACTGCTGTTTCTCCTGATAAGTGGCAGGCGCTCGTCGACAATGTCGACACCAATCTGATCGTGCTGCGTTCCGTGGGCATTGCAGCCATTCCCCCCGGTTCCAAACTGTTGCGGGTCGGCCAAACATCGCTCACCGCCCGCAAAGATATGCTGTGTGTGGTGCCGCTTCAGCGTCGCATTTGGGTGCAGTCGTCCTGTCCGTCTTTCTGATGCGTCGTGCGAAGTCATTCGCATGTGGCTTGACTTGGCCGCTTCCGGCACCGACATCCGGTCTCTTATGCACCCTCCGAAATTCAAATGCACAGCATTCGCCGATGCCTGTGCTGATGCCTCTTCCGTGGATATGGGTGGCTTCGTCCGTCTGCCGAACAAACGCCAGCTATTCTTTCAAGTCACCCTTACGAATAAGCCACATATGCTCCGCCTTTTCCCGTGGCTTCCGTCTGACTGTTCTTTGCAGTCGTACATTGCGACATGGGAACTTGCCTTTTGCTGCTGCACCGTCTTTTGGGTGAAGGCCATTTGCCTTGTCACGCGGTGTTCCGTTCTGATAACTCGGCCGCTGAATCGGCCTCGTGGAAGGGCCTCACGATGGCCATTGGCCTCTGTTCCGTCCTTCGGTCTTTCTTCGTCTTGCAGGACCGTCTTCACATTTCTGTGCGTGTGGATCACGTTCCCGGCATTTCCAACGATGTGGCCGATGGCCTTAGTCGTGGCACCGACCCGACCACTTTTGGTTTCTGTCCGGCCAAGTGCGTGGAAGTTGACTGGAGCTCCATCGCTTCCGTTGTTCCGATGCAGTTTTATCCATCCTTTGAACCCTTCCGGGGTTTCTTTGCTGTCTGATGTCCGTTGAGCGCCTGAATTCCGTGTGGCTGCCGCTGCTTGATGGTCTTTTGGGGCGGTTCCCCTGGCGGGTCAAGCACGCGGCTCGATCATCTTTGGTCCGAACGCCGCCAAAAGATCCAGTTCAACCGAACTGCGTCCGACCGTGGCTGTGGTTCACCTGACCACCGGACTTTCTGCAACGGCATAGAAAAGAGAATACTCCGCTGACCGAGTGTGTGCGAGGAAGCTTTTCATGCTCAGGGTAACGGACTAGTCCGCCCGAACGTTTCTGAGCGAGATCAGTGATGTTTGGATTAGGACGCAACGGCAACCGACCGCTGTAGCCATCGGCTCGCAGCTGGTTGGTTGCACTTTTGACTTGTCCACCTCCAGCATTGCGGCCGGTCCGACCGCCGCCAAAAGGTCCAGTTCAACCGAACTGCGTCCGACCGTGGCTGTGCTTCACCTGACCACCGGACTTTCTGCAACGGCATAAAAAAAGAATACTCCGCTGACCGAGTGTGCGAGGAAGCTTTTCATGCTTAGGGTAGTCCGCCCGAACGCCTTCAGTTCAATCGCAGATATGCTTTTGACCTTGTCAGGGTTAGGAAAAAGCCTGCCAATGCAGCCAAGGTTTGGAAAGTATGCATGGTCCGTGCTTTGGGACTTGTACCTTGTATCATGTATCCTTATTTTTGTTTAAATTGAGGCTCGTGGTGCGCTCTGATAGATTGGGTGATTCGTGTTCGGGTCACACCACGCCGTACCTACTTACAGTAACCTTGCAGATCCCGCAACGATCTTGATGAGGCTGATGCAGCTGGGTGGGAAAAGGGACATTTGTCCAATTTGGCAGGCCACAAATGGGACTTGGGGGCGAGACTAACTCAACCGGTGGACTGACAACAGATTGCCGGACGAGTCTAGCCATGTTAGACATCGCTCTCTTAGCTACTTGGGCCAAAACCCGCCTCACAATGCGGCAGCATGCAGCAACGGCAGGCAACAAAGCCACACCATATTTGGGCGACCTGGATGTGGAATTCGGTTTTGCCTGAGCTCTCTTGAAGGCTGCATGAGTCGTGCCAGCCATGCCCATCCTCCCATTCAGTACGCGCACTGGTGATCACTGGTGAACATGTCGTTGTGGCGAAATGCGGCATACGTCAGCATTCGCTGAATTCCACTGGTCCACCATGCTCTGATGTCCATCTGGCGATAGCATACAGTGGGCTCTAGATGACCCGACTTTTTGGCCCGACGGCGCCAGTGTAAGTGAGGTGGGGGCTGCGTTTGTGTGAGCCGTCTCGCTCCACCCTCGCTTTTTATTGTGGGGATGCTATTGATGATCACCCAGCTACATATTGAATCATATTGACCCCTGCCACTGCAAACCGGGCATGCGCAAAAACAGCAAGGGGGTCGTTGAACTCCGGTTTTGGTCGTAGCAAGCATCCCAGCGCAGGCAGACATGAGCAACTATGCCATACGTTCCGGGCTTGGCGAGACGAGTCGAACCTTTCGAGACATTCACTCTGCTCATGCGGAGCACAGAACTGGGTTAATTCCGTGAACAGTACACAGGCCACAGTGGTGAGTCGCTGCAAGGTCTTGGCATCCTGGAAATGCTGTCTCATCCTCGATTATGGTGAGTCATGACAGAAGCCAGCGCCATGTCATCGTCAAGTCGCTGTACTATCGAAATGCGGGCGTACATGACAAGGCATGTCACAGTCCTCGGTAAATATGCGGGCTTAGGCGCTATGTTGTGAACTGGCTGTTGAGTGGTTACGTCTTCCTGGCATCTCCGTCTTCGCTCCGTGGGACTGCGCATGCCTCTGTTGACGAGATGCGGGATGAACGCACAAGTAGTTTAGGATGTTTGAGTTGAGAGCCGCCGCATTGCCTGACGCCCGCCAAGAAGCAGCAGCCCCTTCCGACCGGGTTTGCGCTGCTCATGCTGCCCATAGTTTGCTCCTTACTGTGCTAAGCATCAGTGCTCATGGCTCAGAAGGTACCTGGCTTGTGGGAGACGAGCTAAGGCTTTGTTGATGCTCCTGCTGACCCTCATCCCAGGAGCTCCTCGGCAGCATTTTCGCTCAAACCGTTTCTATTGCCATTAAATTTTGCGCAGGGTTTCACCGAATTTTGCTGTCCACTGATTGCGTAGCCTTCGCAACGGCTTCGGCCAACTTCTCGGTGGAAGCCATACGCTGGAGTCGGTTTGAGTATTGCATTGCCGGTCGACCTGCCCGGCCATGCTCCAAAGCCAAGCGAACCGTCAAGACCTTGACGGTTGCTTTTCAGCCAGGTCCTTCTGCTTTTTGCGCCGGGGTGCCACTCTTAGTGGTGGTTCCGTTGAGCCAGCACAGAAGACGACTGAAAATTCCGCTCCTGAACCCCAGCTTCATCTGACAAGTCAATTACAGTATTTGACAGTATTCTCGGTCTTGCAACCATGAAATGAGTCCTGTCTTACATGTAAGTGTCATTCGTTTGCTTGCTCGCGGACCGCTGCCTAGCGCCTTGAAAATACGTGACAGACTGACCCAAGACCATGCACTATGCACCAAACGTGATCCCAAGTCAGGTTTCAGAAAAATGAACCGCATCAAGGCCATACCGTGAGGATCGATTTCCGGGCTGGAACCTTGAGCTGCTCTTCAAAAGGAGGCCAAGCTGGAACCCGTGCCTCTTGCTTGACTTTGCGCCGGCCGGGCAACGCTTGCAGGTCTTTCGTGCTTCTCTTCTTGAGCGAATGTCTGTGCCCTGGAGAGTCTTGAAGCCTCAAATCGGCGGCACATGTGCGGCTCATCTACTCTGATCCAGGTGCAGGAAACTTAGCACTGTTTCCGGGGACTTGTTGCGCCCTGAGCTTGAGGCAGCCGTCCTTGAATGCGACAGCATGCAAGTAAACAAGTAATGCACATGCGACGGAGAGCCAACTTCCTTTCCATGCAAGTGACAGCAAGTGGCACTGCTGCAAGATACTCCTAACTGCAGTGTCAGAATTACGACCCGACACCTGATCAGCCACTTGCAAAATATATTTGCCGGAATCAGTATGAGTTTAACAAAAGTGCTCGTCCCGTTCCTGACAAGGTGGCATGTTCCATGATTCATGTAGACATGCATGGGCCGTCAGCAATGAGGTTACATCAGTTGGTGGCTCTCGAACGGCTGGAGTAGTATCGAGCTCTCAGGTACCAAGCTCGAGCTTGCAGTCACCTCAACTTGACCTGCAGCCTTGGAATCTAAGGCCTAAGCGTTCTTTTTGCGTTCTTGCTGGCCTTTGGAACTTTCCTGTGGGCTGAAGCCTCGGAGCCTTCCACATGTACCGGCAGCGGAGGTTGTTGGCACGATTGACGTTTCAGGCAGCAGCTTTGAGCCGGGCTTCTGACCACCTGCCTCGTATTATACATGATCGGCGCACTCAGGAGTCCTAGGACATCCTAGGACGTGTGAATTTGCTGTTGAGCTGCGATGCTGCGAGTCTGAGTCCAGCATGTCGGGAGCATGATCAGCAGTTTCGCATGGCAGATCCATGGCTTGTCCTTCTTGGTTGGAGTCGCTGTCATGTTGGCGAGCACCTTACATTGTCCGCCGATTCAAAGACAACGTTTAAGTTCACTGGCTTGGAATATCGCATGGTTACGTTTGCCTTCACTTCCAACACCGCTTGATCACTTGGCTTCACTTTTGCCATGCATTGGTCACGCCACAGGCCCCGGCGACGATCCTGAGAAGCGTAGTCCAAGACGAAGTTGCAACGATCACCAGCCTGGGGCGCTCAGAGGCGCAATGCAAAGAGTGCGCAGGGGCAAAGAAAAGCGAAGTTTTCTCTAAAGCTAACATGATCGGGAAAGAAGCAGAAGCATTGCTGCCAGAACTTCAGGTGAGCGTGTCATCACATACCACTTTGTCCGTGCTGCGGGTTTCAAGTTATTCAACTTCTACACACTCTCGAACCGAAAGATTGGCAGACGGACATGCGCTATCCCTTTGCACTGAAGGAATTCAAACCTCAACCGGCTTCACACATTGATCTAAGATCGCTTTGCAAGATCAGAGAAGATTCAGCAGGCCGCGCTGATCATCAGCGTCCTCAGCCTGCTGGGACCCAAGACTGTTTTCAGAACGCCGTGATGGCGCAAGCTTCTGTTCTGTTCTGCTTGATATCAGGTTCTTTGAGGGTGTCTTGGGCCTGGCATGATCGTGCTGTGTCCTGTTTTTCATGCACATGAATCCCGCTGGCGGGCACGCAGCACATGACGAAGCATCAGGTTCGATCTTCAGCTTTGTGGACAGCGAAAATCCGCATCCTGAACTCCAGATGGCGTCTTCTAAGTAGAGACCCCGGAAAGGAGCCGCGGCGCGAGTCTCTGCCGTGTGCCGAAGAGACAGTCTCGCGAGGCTACGGCACGATCCTTCAAAGCTGCAGCCACTTCTGTGCCTTCCTGTCGCCCTTTGTCTGGGGCCTTCCGAATGCTTGGAGATCTTGGAGTTGTTCTGAAACTCACCACGATCTCGCCAAGCATCCGAGCCAAGGTGTGTGAGTTTCTCGCCAGGCAGCAGAAATCTCGGCACAGCGTGGTTGTGCAGTTGGAGCCTTCAACCGATGCCTGCTGTGCTAAGGCATGGCGTGACGTTCATCACGCGCAATCAGAAGGACGGTCGCGGTGGATGAACATTTGCGTAAACCTACATTTGCCAACCCTGGAAAGATGAGCAGAACCACCGCAAGGCCCGGCTGCACCGGGGCAACCAGCTCTTGATGGTTGCGGCTTCACACCCCCTCAAGCTGCACTGCAAGTGGAGAGTGGCTTTCAGCTCTGCATCCATACTACATGTGCACGTGCCGTCTGCCGATGCCACCCTCGGAAGCAAAGACAGAAAGCTGCAGTTTTTCCACAGCACCCTGCGATACACGTTTAGGGGCTAGGCTGACTTCCGACATCACCGTGGGCCGGCTACTCAAACCCATGTCCAAATGGAAGCCGTCGCCCGGCGCTGACCAGGGATCGGGACATCCTCAGGATTAGGGCGCCCGTGCTCGACGCTGCACGAGGAGCCCTTCAAACTTCCCAGATCACTTGCCAGCGAAGTGGCGCCGTGAAACTCAAAGCTACACTCGCCAACCCCGGAAACCTGGCACAACCACCACACGGCTGCTTCTGGGTCCCGGACGCACGGGGGCCACCCGATCTTTCTTTGGCTGCAGCTTCGCAAAAATCACATGAAGTTTTGTTTCGACAGCTAGTGGCTAAACTTGAAGATCGCCTCAGAGGAGACGGCTGACAATTTCAGGGCAGCTGGCTTTTCATCTTCGTAAGAGTTCTAAGCCCGGTGCAGTCCTGCCGACCACTTCATCGGCAGCATGTCTCGGCTTGACCCGACCTGCAGCATAGTCCAAGCTGAGCATGTTGCCATCTGGTACTTGAGGGGGAAAGACAGAGTATAAAGAGTAGCCGGGTAGCCGGGGTACCACAGCAAAGTCATAGTGCCTGTGTCTGATTGGTGCACATGAACAGCATGCAGAAAGGCTTATTTTCACGCGGCAACATGTGCATAGCCTTGTAGATGGCCAGTGTTCGGGATGGCACAGACTGATGCGCGAAGGAGCTGGCAGATGCAATGATCCTGTCAGCAAGATACTCATCGGATGGTCATCAGCAAAGTGACGAGCGCGATTAAGACTCCTCTCGCTGCTTTCAGGGCGTCCCTTTGGGCTTGGTGCAGTTCTTTCTGCAGGCAGGCTGGTGCATCCAGATGTCTGGACGTGTATACATACATACATACTACATATATATATATATATATATATACATATATATATATATATGTATATATGTATATATGTATATTGTATATATATATATATATATATATATATATATATATATATATTTATTTATTTACATATATATATATATATATATATATATATATGGTGCAGCGCTGCTAGACCCCCCCTCCCCCCCCCACCCCATGGTATCCCCCCCTTCCCCCCTGTGGTTCCCTGTGGTGTGGGTTCCCCCCTGCCCCTCCCCCCTGTGGTTGCGGTTGGCTGCACCCCCGTCCATGGCTATGCGTCCGGTTGCTAAGGGTTTGGACCGTAGGATGTAATACAGTTCTATTGAACTCCGACCTGCCCTGAGCTCCAAAGCCAATGATAGTGATGAAAATGATGGTGATGATAATGACGAAGATGGTGCTCATGATCCCCATCCGCACTCTCATCAGGTCCCTTGCTCAAAAGTCCCGAATGAAAACCATTCAAAGACGTGCTCAAGCTTACTTGTAGCGAACCCAACCGAAACTTGGCTTGGAATGACAACGGTCGATATGGTTTTCGCAAGAACATCACAAGCCAAGCACGGTTTTCAACTAGATAAAGCGATGAACATGCGGTGCCGAAGCCCAGAGCAACATAAGAGCAAAGGTACCACCAATAGCCACACTGGGACTAGCACATCAACATCATTGCGCACAACATTCTCATTTGTGCTCGAAGAGAGGGGAAGGAAAGGGGCCCGGTGGTTCCCTGTGTTGATTATCCTTCCCCACCCCGCCCCTGTGGTTCGCCGTCTTGTGGTTCCACTATTGTGGGTTATCCCTCCCGCACCCACCCCCGATTGCCAAGGCGAGAGGCGAGGCCTGGCTTGGGGGGGGAGTTACGCGGATGACGTGTGACTGTTTGATTGGACGAGACGCCTGGCTTCCGGGGGGGGGGCATACCATGGGGGTGGGGGGGGGGGCCCCCCTGCGACGCGGCGACGCGGCACCATATATATATATATATATATATATATATATATATATATATATATATATATATATATATATATACGTTGCGGCGTCTTGTGGGAGTGTGGCAAACGACCTGAAGACGCATCCGTATTGCGAAGACGCATTCGTCAAAAAAAGGCCTAATAGGTGCAGACGCATTCGCAGGCGCATTCTGAAGACGCATTGGAAGGAGCAGACGCATTGGCAGGCCCAGACGCATTGGGTGGCGCAGACGCGTTGTGAAGACGCATTGCGAAAACACATTGGATAGGCGAAGACGAATTACGAAGACACGTTGGGCAGGCGAAGACGCATTGGGGTAGCGAAGACGGCTTCAGGAGACACATTGCGAGGCTACGGTCCAGGTAGGTGCAGACGCATTGCGAAGCCGCTTTCACGACACAACGGCCACGAGCAGAGTGCGAGGGCACCTTCACATGCATGACTCGCATGACAGTTGGTTTCGCATGACATTTGATGTGAAAATCAGGGGTTCTCCACCAGTCCAAGGCTCCATCCTGGGAGATCCAGTTGTATAAGAGTTCGGATTATGAGATGGTGTGTGTCCCACCGTCCATTGGTTGTTTGACCAGCATGACCGAAACAACCCACCCGCAACTCCATCTCCATACCTGCTCCTTATTGAGAGGAGGAGAACGTATGGAAATGGCTCAATCCGTATCCTCGGTCAGAAGCACCGCAGGCATCCTCATTATAAGCGGGCCCCCACCAGTCCAAGGCGTGATCTCCGGAGTTCAAGGTTTGTGAGAGTTCTGATTTAACAGTCCGAGGCCCAGCAGTGAAAGGCTCCATCCTCGGAGTTCAAATTTTGTTAAAGTCCTGAGTTAAAAAGAGGGGCGCCTGATCAGTGCAAGGCTCCACCCTCGGCGTTCAAGCTTTGTAAGAGTCTTGATTTCGAAACCAGGGGAGCCCAATCAGTCAAAGGCTCCACCCTCGGAGTTCAACGCTTGTAAAAATTATGATTGAAAACATCAGGGTCGCCCCATCAGTCCAAGGCCCCACCCTCGGAGTTCAAGATTTATAAGAGTTCTGACTTAAAAAGTCAGGGGCGCCCATCAGTCCCAGCTCAAGATCTCTAAAGGCTCTGCCTTAAAAGTTAGGGCGACCCATCAGTCCAAGGCCCCACCCTCGGGGTTCAAGATCTGTTATCAGTTCTGATTGAAATCCAGGGCGCTCCATCAGTCCAAAGCCTAGTTCTCAGAGGTCAAGATCTATCAGAGTTCTGTTGGTAAAACCAGGGGTGCACCATCCGTGCAAGGCTCTATCCTCGTTGTTCAAGATCTTTAGGAGTTCTGATTCAGACATCAGGGGCGCTCCATCGGTCCGAGGCCCCGGTAGCCTCAGAGTTCAAGATCTGTAAGAGTTGTGATTTAAAACTCAGGGGCGCTCCATCAGTCCAAGGCCTTCTCCTCGGAGTTCCAGATCTATGAGAGTTCTGTTTAAAAAATCAGGGCGCCATCACTTCAAGGGCCTTTTCTCGGAGTTCAAAACCACGGGCGACCCACCCGTCCAAGGCCACACCCTCGGAGTTAAAGATTTGAAAGGGTTCTGATTTTAACATCAGGGGCGCGCCATTAGTCCCAGGCCGTATTCCCAGAGTTCAAGGCTTATATAACAGTTTTTGAGTAAATCAATAACGCCCCATCAATCCAAGGCCCCACCCTCGGAGTTCAAGATCCATACGAGTTCTGATTGAAAACATCAGAGTCGCCCCATCAGTCCAAGGCCCCACCCTCGGAGTTCAAGATGTATAAGAGTTCTGATTTAAAAAGTCAGGGGCGCCCATCAGTCCCAGTCCAAGATCTTTAAAGGTTCTGCGTTAAAAATTGGGGCGACCCATCAGTCCAAAGCCCCACCCTCGGGGTTCAAGATCTGTTATCAGTTCTGATTGAAATCTAGGGCGCTCCATCAGTCCAAGGCCTAGTTCTCAGAGGTCAAGATCTATCAGAGTTCTGTTGGTAAAACCAGGGGTGCACCATCCGTGCAAGGCTCTATCCTCGTTGTTCAAGATCTTTAGGAGTTCTGATTCAGACATCAGGGGCGCTCCATCGGTCCGAGGCCCCAGTAGCCTCAGAGTTCAAGATCTGTAAGAGTTCTGATTTAAAACTCAGGGTGTCCATCAGTCCAAGCCTTCTCCTCGGAGTTCCAGATCTATGAGAGTCCCGACTTAAAAATCAGGGGCGCCCCATCACTTCAAGGGCCTTTTCTCGGAGTTCAAAATCTTTAAAGGTTCTGACTTCAAAATCAGGGGCGACCCACCAGTCCAAGGCCCCACCCTCGGAGTTAAAGATTGTAAAGGTTTGGATTGTAATATCACGGGCGCGCCATCAGTCCAAGACCTTATTCTCAGAATTCAAAACCTGTATATAAGAGCTTTTTGGCCTTATCCGCATTGCTTTAGGTGACGCCGAATTGTGACGCCACAGTGTCTGACGCCGAATTGCCCCCTGACGCCGCAGTGGGTGGTGACGCCGAATTGCTGATGCCACATTAGGTGTTGACGCCGAATTGCTGACGCTGATTAGGTGGTGACGCCGGATTGGTGACGCCGCATTAGGTGGTGACGTCGACTTCTTGACGCTGCATTAGGTGGTGACGCCGATTTGGGTCGTGAAGCCGGATTGTGAAGCCACATTACCCGAGGCCCCTGGATCTGATGCTAGAGCCCAGAACCGTTACAGATCTTGAACTGCGAGGGTGGGGCCTTGGACTGATGGACCGCCCCTGATTTTCAAAACCAGACCTTTCATACACGTTGAACTCGGAGGATAGGGCTTTGGACTGATGCTAGAACCTTTGAAGATGTTAAATTCCGAGAGAAGGGGCTTGCACTGATGGCGCGCCCCTGATTTTCGCAAACAGAACTCTGATAGGTCTTGACCTCTGAGGATAGGGTTTTGGACCGGACTGATGGAGCGACCCTGATTTTTTAAGCAGAATTCGTATAGATCTTGAACTCCGAGGCTGCGGCTTCGGACTGATGGGGCGACCCTGCGATTTTGAATCAGAATTCTTAAACAGATTTTAAGAACTCTGAGGATAAGACCTTGGACTGATGGGGCGACCCTGATTTGTTAAAACAGAACTCGTATAGGTCTTGAACTATGAGGATAGGGCCTTGGACTGATGCTGCGCCCCTGATGTTTAAATCAGAACTCTTATAGATCTTGAACTCCGAAGACAAAGCCTTGCACTGATGGGGCGGAGCTGTTTTTTCACAAGAGATCTCTAAGAGATCTTGACTTTGGGGGATAAGGCCAAAAAACTCTTACATATGGTGCAGTGCTGCTAGGCCCCCCCTCCCCCCCATGGTATCCCCGCCTCCCCCCCTGTGGTTCCCCCCTGTGGTTGCGGTCGCTTCCATGGCTATTTCTGGTTGGGCGTCGCGTTGCTAAGGGTTTGGAGCTTAGGATGTGATACAGTTCCACTGAACTCCGACCTGCCTTGAGCTCCAAAGCCAATTATGAATGTTATGATGATGATGATGACGAAGATGGTCATGATCTCCATCTGCACTCTCCTCCGGTCTCTTGCTCAAGATTCCCGAATGAAAATCATTCAAACACGTGCTAAAGCTTAATGTCGACGAACCCAATCGAAACTTGGCTTGGAATGACAACGGTCGATAGAGTTTTCGCAAGAACATCACAAGCCAAGCACGATTTTTAATTAAATTAACGCAATGAACATGCTGTGTCGAAGCCCAAAGCAACATAGCAGCAGAGGTACCACCAGCAGCCACACTGGGAATAGCACATCAACGTCATTTGTATGTCGAAGCGGAAGCGGGATGCGCTGTGGTTCCCTGTCTTTTGGTTGCATGTGTTGTTGGTTATCCCCCTGGGACTGGCGGGTCGCCCCTGATTTTGAAGTCAGAACCGTTAAAGATCTTGAACTCCGAGAAAAGGCCCTTGAAGTGATGGGGCGCCCCTGATTTGTAACGTAGAACTCTTATAGATCATAGATCTTGAACTCCGAGGAGAAGGCTTTGGACTGATGGAGCGCCCCTGATTTTTCAATCAGGACTCTTATAGATCTTGAACTCTGAGGCTACTAGGGCCTTGGACCGATGGAGCGCCCCTGATGTCTGAATCAGAACTCTTAAAGATCTTGAACAACGAGGATAGAGCCTTGCACTGATGGTGCCCCCCCGGTTTTACCAACAGAACTCTGATAGATCTTGACCTCTGAGAACTAGGCCTTGGACTGATGGAGCGCCCTTGTCTTTAATCAGAACTCTTACAGATCTTGAACCCCGAGGGTGGCCTTGGACTGATGGGTCGCCCTAATTTTTACGACAGACCCTTTAGAGATCTTGAACTGGGACTGATGGGCGACTCTGACTTTTTAAATCAGAACTCTTATACATCTTGAACTACGAAGGAGGGCCTTGCACTGATGGCGCGCACCTGTTTTTTCACAACAGATCTCTGATAGATCTTGACCTCTGGGGCGTCAGGAATTCGGATTCGGCGTCAGGTCGTTTGCCACACTCCCCCAGGTGGCCGCCCTCTATATCTATATATATATATATATATACATACATACACATACCTATACGTTTGGTTACACTTGTGAGGTCGTCATCGCCCCATTCCTCAAGAAGGAGTGCCGTACTGCTGAGCCGAATCGAAGTCGGTCGTGCTTGGAGATTCAGCCATGTGCTGCCAGGACATGGGCATTTCTGTAGGAGCCGAACGGAGCTCGAGGAGAGTAACTCAGTACTGCGCCATCCATTGCATTTGCTTGTGGCGAGTCCGTAGCAAGCAAGTCTCGATTTGGTAAGTGTTGCATCGGCATGTGTCAACGGCTTTGACTTTCGACAGGAGCGTGCTGCGAAAATTTCGGAAGGGCACCTCAGTGTTTGCGTTTACCACCTTCGCAGGTGCAGGCCATGTGGCAGCGATCAGCACTACAGTTTGCATCACATCCGAACTTGAGATGCTCGTGTGGCGGTTTCCTTCTGAATTCTTTGATTGATGATTGATGACCTTTGCAGGCCTGGCCCTTTGTGTGCTCATGGGCACCTTCCTGAAGATACAGATGCCCGTCAGCAGAATTGCTCGATGCGCGCAACTGAGTTACTGCAGAGCCAGCAGTCAACGTTTGCCTTTGCGCTTCGCGTAAGTCGAGGCGAGATTCCTCACCCGACAAACTGCACCGTCTGCCTGGCCTTTTCTATCACATCGAGGGCGTCGGGCGTCCCAAAGTTGTGGCCACGCTTGCGCAAGGTGCTGGTGGATGAGATTGATGCACAGGAGGCTGTCTTCGGCCAGCATTATGGCCTCAATCGCTTCCGCCAAAACACCACAGGCCCGCGCAGAGGTGGTGCACGAATCGTTGCACGGGTGGGTGCATTTCTTGACAAAAATAAATTGTGAAGGCTTTGTCAACTTACCACACCCTCTCCGCCCCGCGATACTGGATGTTGCACAAGGAAGCATTGCCTAACAACCTCGCGGTGGAAAACCAGATTGAATATGATTGAAAGCACCATAGATTCCGCATTTTGCTCGAAGATGTTGATCAAGATTTTAATATAATCGAGCGGAGTCGATCGAGATTGCTGGGTTTCTGCAACAGGTTGGAACAGACAGAAGATGACAGAAGCGTGAGCATCCAACATCTTGTCTGACTTCTGGTCGACGCACAACTTCCGGTTCTGCTAAAAGGAAGCGTTCCATACCGTGTCGATGTGCTGCAGGCATGTACAATTGCTTGAGCCGCATGAGAGCTGTTGGAGGCAGGGAGAGAAGCTGCTGCAGCTGCAGTCTGTCCGTTTTCCTGGCACATTCGACAGCAGACACTTGTGCCTGCAACGAGGAGACACGTTCAGGTTCTGGGAGTTCGGGAGATGCGAGGCCTTGCTCAGTGATAGCGTTATGTTGGTGTCGGCCCACAGCAGGGCTCGCTGCACAGTTGCATGATCCTGCGTATTCGCGAGCGGCGGCCAATAAATTGTTCATTGATGGCAGTTTCATGCCGAGGTTGCACTTCTCACTCCAAGCAAAACTGGGTTGTTCAATGAGCCTTGCCGGGAGGGGGTTCGTCCAGTTCGCGCTTTGGAATTGGCCTTGCAGGGCAGTGACAACATGTGTAATACACGTGCTTTCACGTTGTAGGTGCAACATTGCGGAAGTACCTCGGCGCTGCAGGGCGATAAGCCGGCCGCCACAGGCGTGTTCTTGCCGTGGCTTTGACATGACGCTGTTGTGCGTAAGAAGCTGAGACTTCCCATCAGGTCAAGGACCTCTCGATGCCTTTGACCTTTGGTCCCACTACTGTGATATGTGCGGCCCTTTTTACCAGATGCTGTTCGCATTTCGTCCCCACACCCTGAGGCCTTGTGTGTCCCATGTCAACCGTGATTTGCACGTGGCTGCTACTAGTAGTTGCAGCACGAAGGTTTTTTCGACAGATTCACGAGTTGCAGGAAGCAAACATCGGAAAGATTTCCTACGGTAATTAATCTAAGCTTGACAAATCGTCCAAGCTTGGCATGCCACGCGCATGCAGCTTCAGCATGATGCACAGAGTCTAGCCGCATGGTTTTCCTGATCAGCCTGCATTCCAAAGCCTGCACCTACATTTGTCTTGCGCAGACCTTGCCCAATGCGTAGCTCTTGATTGTGTGGACGTAGTGTGCTCGGAAAAAAGCTGACTGAGATGCAACATAGATAGCTGCCGCGTACTCATTGAGAAGTAGTAGTACTAGTGCTAGTGCTAGTACTAGTACGAGTACTAGTAGTATCTTAGTATTAATAGTCGCAGATAGTAACAACGGCAGCAGTAAAGCAGTAGCAGCAGCATGGCAGTAGTAGGAGTAAGAGTAGGGAATCCGAATTCTCTGTTGGTCTTGGGGATGTTTTTGTTTTTGTGGTTTTTGATTTCCTTTGCTTTTCTGCTTTCCTCTGCTTTTGTGCTTCTCCTTTTCCGCTTCCCTGCTTTTCCGCTTCTCTTGCTTCTCCGCTTTTCCGCTTCTCTTGCCTCTCTGCTTCTCTGATTGTCTGCTTCGCTTTTATTTTGTTGCTTGCAGCTCTTCCCTGCTTTAGATTTTTTGTTCGTTTTGCTTTGTGCTTTTGCTTTCCTCTGCTTCTCTGCTTTTCTGCTTTTCTGCTTCTCTGACTGTCTGCTTGCTTTTATTTTGTGTTTAATTTTTTGCTTGCAGCTCTTCCCTGCTGTAGTATGAATTTGTCGTTTCATTTTTGTGCTTTTGCTTTCATCTGCTTTTCTGTTTCTCTGCTTTTCTGTTTCTCTGCTTTTCCGCTTCACTGCTTTTCCGCTTCTCTTGCTTCTCTGCTTTTCTGCTTCTATGATTGTCTGCTTCACTCTTCTCTCTTTCGAGATGTTGCTTGCAGCTCTTCTCTGCTTTAGTATTCTTCATATTTTTTTGGTTTGCGTGCCTCTGCTTTTGCTTTCCTCTGCTTTTCCGCTTCTCTGCTTTTCTGCTTCTCTGATTGTCTGCTTCGCTTTGATCTTTGTAAGTTTTTGCTTGCTGCTCTTCCCTGCTTTGATTGCTTGTTGTTTTTTCTTGTTGATGGCTTTCCTCTGCCTTTGCTTTCCTTTTGCTTTTCAGCTTTTGTGCTTCTCTGCTGCTCTGCTGTAACGCTTTGCTTTCGTACTATTCTTATTACTTTTATATATTTTTATTATTACGATTATTAAAAGAACAAAAAGATCTTCTCTCCAATGCGCAAAAGGAAGTCCCTTGCGAAATCGCTTTCGAAGCCCTCTTCGAAGGGTGCCCCCTCGTTGCAAATGAGCGGGGCTGCGCCCCCCCCCAACCCCCCGCTCTCTTCAGCCGTGCAGAAATGAATAAACCTGTCTTTTTCAACACACAAGAAGGAGAAAGCCACACGAACACGCTTCAGGGGTCAAAAGCGAAGAAAATACACTAATCATGATGAAACGGAAACCTCTTCACCGACAGACAAGAAGGCGAAAGCCAGACGTTTTCGCTGGGGAGTAAAAACAAAACAAGAAAACAAAGTAAAGTGAAAGACTCCGTTGTAAAACGAATAAACGAGTAAAAGCGTCTTCTCCAGCACACAAGATGGAAAAGCCACGCGAAATGGCTTTAGGGGGAAAAAGCGAAGAAAACAAAGTCATTTTTGGAAGGTTTGCAAAGGGGGTGGGGCACTTTTTCAAAACTGCAAGCTTTGCTGCTTTCTTCCTCCCCTTACTTCCCGCTTTTCTGAACTGCAGACCCTGATGCTGTCTTTCAGACGTTAAGCTCCTATTACAACTAGGGTAGTAGCAAAAGCGGCAACGACAACAACGACAAAAACAGTGACACAACAACCAAAGCAGCAGCAACAACAACGACGACAACGACAATCAATAGTAACAATGACAACAAGAACAAAAAGAGTAAGAATGATAATGAGATTTCATTCACACGCAGCGGGAAAAGATGTCTCGGGTGAAACTGTTGATCCTCGCTTTGCGAGTGTTCGACCTGTAGCTCTGATGTGATCAACCGCGGCTCATGGCTTCACGACAAGCCGGGCCTCAGCGCTACACTTGCACACGTTCCGCCCCTGAGGGCCTGAGGGCTGCAAACTGTGAAGTCGAGGATGAAGGTGCAGTCATTCGAATGGCAGAGACCTCACTTTTTACTTTGTGTCTCAAGAATGGCACAAGGCGGTGCACACACTAAAGAATTTTGCACTGTGAAGCTGTCTGTCCTGAGTCTGGGCGCTAGCCCCTCTGTGAGGGCTCCGTACGGACAACCAGTTCTACATTGAAGAGAAGACGATGCGGAAGGGAGACCCTCAACAGAGGTAGGCCAGGAGCCATCTCCAGCTCATCCGTTGTTACAACTGCTGGCGGAGTTACTCCTGCCAAGCCCATGCTCGTCACGTGCAGCTCCCCTGTGCCTGGGTGAGGGATAGTGGAGCGTACTGCTTTTGGGGGTGGGGGACCCAGGGGAGTTACTCCACCATGGGTCCCTACCTTGGCCGTAGCTGCTGATCCTGCACCTGAGCCACCTGAGCCACGATCGGAGCGAGATTCGGCTCGTGACAGATTGACCGGCACTGGAGGCGGCGGACCCTTCGCATCAGCGACAACCGGAACTGCTGCCTCCTCTGAGTCCGACTCACGGATGGCATTGCTTGAAGGCGGAGACCGAGATCGATGAGCTCGGCGCCTCACCGGAGGAGGAGTTCGGGAATTCGCCCTAGCGCCATGTCTTTTAGGCGTCTCTGGCATCTCTCTCCGGGGTATTATGACAGCTGTAGAGTTTGAGCCTGCGCAAAGGCGACATTGAACTTTCAAGCAAACTACCTTTGAGCACACTGTTTGAGTCGGGATCCAAGGGCTGGACTGATAGCTCGACCTGAGAGAGACAGGAATACTCATTTCCTGAATAAAACAGCGAAAGAGATAGCTGACCAGCTCATTTGTCTGCTATCCTCGCGAGCCGAGTCCAAGCTGGGGAGAATCTGCACCAGAGAGAGGGAGAAGCTCCACTCCATGAAAGATCAAAGCGGCCGATTATCTCCACCGTACTTCGTGCCTGATTTCAGGCTCTGGAAATACTCGATGGCAGAGGGAGGCACATCGTGTGGGGTGAGGATCACGCCGTTTTTTGCTAGCGAAAAATTTCACCCCTTCTCGAAATGCCCTAGATGCATTGACCGCAACTAGCATGGAGGAGCTTTCTCTGAAGCCGGAGATGCCCGGTCGCCCATAGTCCTGATCTGAGACGAAATGGATATGTTGTCGTCCCTCTCTTCCGCGGCCCCCTTTTCCTCTGCCTTTGGAGATCTTGCTCTGTGGCAGAAGCCCCTGTGTCCGAATGGGGTGATACAGTGACCAGTACGTGCCATGGTACAGCATTGCAGGGAGCATCTCCTCTGTGAGCTCCTCAAGCACTTCTGAAGAGTCTACATCAGACCTTGAGTGGCCCTGCACTGCCCTGATGTACTTGGTGCCACGGCTGTCCCCCAACTCATACCTGCTTTTCGAGTTGTGGCGGACAATTTCCATGATGTCTCCAGCTGATGCTGTTTGGCTGTAAATGCGTGGCCACGACAGAACATCCTCTAGCCGAGCCCAACCTGCACTGGAGACGGAAATGTAGGGTCTGTGGCCGTGACGTAAGCAAGCCGCCGATGCTTTGGACACCTCGAAGGAAAACTTCGTGTCGGGATCAGTGGATTCTTTGCAGTATTTACCGAGCTCTCCTGGCTGGCCGTCCCAAGCTACTATTGGGGACCCCCTGGCGTCGCCGAAGAAGAAGATGCATGAGGAGGCTGTTCTTGACTGTTCGCTGCCAGAAGAGGATCTCCACCCTTTGACCCTCTCGCTGGCTCATCACTTGGAAGGGGAGGAGCTCCTCCTTCCTGTCGTCTGTCAGTATTCTGGGTACTGATGATAAGGTCGTATCCCAGAGCTGCAAAGGAGTCGCGAGTCTGCTTGAGTGGAATCTCGAGCGCGCCGCTCCACTCGCGGAGGTACTCTCCTAAGGAGAGGTCGTCCTTTGTTGCGATTTGTAGCAGCACAGCTCGGATTTTCACCGAGTCAAAGGGGTGGATAAGTTGGTTTGCCCCACGGTCTGTCTTCAAAATTTCTGGTGCTGTCGAGGGCCGGTGTCGAGGGCAAGAGTCTTCCAGTAGCTAGGATCCTGTGCAAACATTCTAAATGTGTACCATGAAAGGCGACTTCGCTGTCGCCGGCAGGAAGAATGATCTGGGAGGAGTACTCGAACCTGTACCATCCGTGCGCATCAACAGCCGGAAAGCCAATCTTGGGGAGCAGGGACTCATTCGACAGCCCAAAGCGAGTAGCCAAGAACGTTGTGAGCAGGGCAGATGATACTTCGGGTGACGGTTTGGCAACCTGGGTGAGCCCATCTCGAAGCTGCTTCGTTACCGTCACCGTGATGCGGTGATTGTTCAAATCTGTAATTGAGCCGGCGCAATCTGTAATCAGGCTTAACCTGCAGCTTGAAGCACTGTAACCGCCTCCTCGTTGTGAGCTTCCAGAGCTTGCAGGTGAGAGGGGTCACTTGAACGAGGATCTCCACTCTTTGCCTTAGCTACAGGGGGAGTGTCTCCACCCTCGCCTTCGCCAGTGCTTCTCTTCCTGGAGGGGGGCGGAGGGGGAGTGACTCCACCCTTTCCTATCAGCTGCCCCACTTGATCCCTTGGGGGCGCCCTTATAGGCTGGATAATCTTCCCCGTGCGCGCGCGCTGAGTGCCGCCATTGCCGGAGAGAATTGCGGTACGTCACATGGGGAAGTTGGTCTCTGACCCGATTCCTGCAAAACTGATCGTACTCCGCCCGGAAGGACTGGTCCTGGGTGGAGTCTGGACGGGACATGATGATGGACTTCACTTTGAAAGAAGACCTGCGGAGAGTTGGACATGAGCGTTCCACAGGCAAACACTCCGAATGCAAAGGTCTGAGCTCCATGCCTCCAGAGTTGGCTCCGGGCGACAGCCTGTGCGATCATATAG